CTTTGTATGTATATATATGTATCCTATTAGAGAGTAAGTGGAGACGATATTTTTCAATTTTTTCCCTCTAAACAACCACAACTTTTGTAAATATATATATATATATATATATATATATATATATCCTACTAAAAAGTACGTGGAGACAAGTTTTTTTCCCAGTTTTCTTCCATATAAACAACCACAACTTTTATAAATATATATATATATATATATATCCTACCAGAAAGTATTTGGAGACGAGTTTTTTTCAATTTTCTTCCATTTAAACAACCACAACTTCTGTAAATATGTATGTATATATATGTATCCTACCAGAAAGTATGTGGAGACGGAGTTTTTTTTTCAGTTTTCTTCCATCTAAACAACCACAGCTTTTGTAAATATGTATGTATATATATGTATCCTACCACAAAGTATGTGGAGACGAGTTTTTTTTTTTCAATTTTCTTCCATCTAAACAACCATAGCTTTTGTAATTATGTATGTATCCTACTAGAAAGTATATGGAGACAAGTTTGTTTTCAGTTTTCTTCCATCTAAACGACCGCAGGATTACTACAGAATAAAATATGGTGAACATCAGGATTGATGTGCCTACACTTGCTCCTTAATTAATTAACTAGTTGGATATATATTCATTCATTATAAAGGAATTATTAATTAAATATTATTGATTATATATCTTGTTATATGCCTATATTTGGTCGAGTGAACCATAAAGGAAGAGGACTACAAGGACTATGCTTTACAGCCTAACACTGGATACGTCGTCAGGTCCAGACATAGTCATTGGCAGTCGTTAATCATTCATATCAGCTCCCTTAATTTTGCTTTTTAATAAGAGATGTAGATGCATTGATAATTTAATCGAATACTCTATCTCTTCTAATACATTAATATATATAAAAGTTGGGTTTTTGATATGGTTGTTTTTTAACTAGTTAATTGTATGTTAAAAGGAATATGAGATGATAAAGAAGAATATTGTATTTAAAGCTTGAAGAATATTGGATATATCAACAGCAAAGAAAAGACAGCAAAGCTTTGGTGGAGGTATGAGCTATCGTAATTTCTGATGGAAAGCAGAGAACATAAACTTTGCTTGATTCTCATAGTTTGTATAAGTGGTCACTATTACTTGCTTCGCATGACAATATTTTGCTCATCTTTATCCGGGTTACGTGCGTCTAATACAAGCGTACTTAATAGGTGGTGGTCTGAAGTTCCTCTTGGGACCTTACGACTTGGAACTTGGAAGATTTTTACGGGCCAACCGAATAATCTAGTGGTCCAAAATACAACAAATATTTAATATATCAATGATTAAGAAACATTAGTTAAGGTAGATACATAAAATTTTATGTTAGAAGTAAATTTAAACTTTTAAAATTCTAGGAGGAAGAGCTTGAATTTATAAAAATGAAAATAGTTTTTTAATAAAAAATATATAATAATTTTAAAATTTCAAGACAACTTGTCTTGTCTTAGCTCTCCACACCTCTGTCCATTCATGAACGTGTCGTTAATTGATCATCAAAATGAGAGTCGTCTTGTCTCTGAGATGATCAAGTGGGTTCACCTCCTATGGAATAGCCTTATAGGTGTAGTCGAAGGCTGATTATGGCTCAGAGAAATTTGGTTGGCGCGCCTGTCTTTCTTGGCCAACATTAGTGCTGGATCGGCCCAAGTGTTACAATTTTAAATGGATGTGAAATGAGGTAATTAGATGAGTTTTTGGTTAGTTTACATTAAATTGAATTAAATTGGACACGAATTGTAGAATTATATTAAATCAATTTAATGATTTGGTTCGACTCCGGTTAAATTCGGATTAATCTTACTTTGATTTCTTATCATAATAATCCACCTCATTGATCTCAAATTGCTTGCTCTACCATGTCTCGCGACAATGCAGACTTTAAAACATTTAACAACTACCAAAAGTGCATAGCACTAGGAATATACATACATTGTATTTCAAGTTTTCAACCAATATTGAGCCATATTGACTTACTTTTTTAGCATTTACTTATTTTTTAAAGGGTAAAATATGTTTTAGCTTATTTAATTATGTGTTTAGTAACAAACAAGTTACTTCTTATATCCCATAAAATATGTCCATAATTGATTTTTTTTGGATCAATTATTTTAAATTTTGATTAATTACTATTTAAAATTTATTATTGATAAAATTCCATTTTAAAAACTTTTAATCAAGTAGTTTTTAAATATATTATTAAAAAAATAATTTTTAAATATATATTTTATTAAATTTAATTATTTAAAATAATCATAATCAAAATTTAAAATTCTTGACTTTTTGAAGTCCATTTTTATGGGACGGGAGTAATATTTATTTGAAAGAGACCAGCATTTAATTTAATTAAAATATTGTAATAAACATGTCATTAAAAATGAAATGGATGTCTAATTTGGTTGATATAATAACATTTTTAGTCCCTAAAACTTATATATTCTATTAATTTTATTATAATTTAAAATAATTAAATAAATTTAACTCTTCATGTTTAAATAATTCATCAATTTAATATCTTTTTACAATACTATCAAATCAAGTGATACCATTTATCCAAGCACATATTAGATAATTGTGTTTTGCCATACAACAACAATAAATTGTAGTTAAACTAATATTATATCACAAAAATAACATGAAAATATTATACTTTTAAGAGACAAACAAGCAAGTAGGGGAACAAAAGCTAAAATGATAGAATTCTCAAATAGAAAAGGTTAAATTCGTAGAATTGTTTTGAAATTTGGCATATTTATATATTACATAAGTTTGGGGGATTAAAATTCTTATTATACCTGGTAAAGTCTCTATTTTTTGCTTCTGAAACATTTTAATTAAGTGGAAAAATAACTTTGTAAAAGAGGGTGAAATGTAGGTTAGATGAAGAAATATTGAAATCTGCAGCTTTGAATTATATTTCAAGTGAGAAAGTAGGATGAGATTGACAGAAGAAAGTGAAGAGAGGCAGATGGTGAAATTGCAGCCATTAAAACAGCAGAACTTATGCCGATGTAAGATTCCAAGCTTGATGAAAAATAGCAGTCTATGGTCTGAAAGAGAAAAGTGACGGAGAATCACTTCAAGATTCATTGTGTGAAAGATACGGAACAACCCGAAGTCAGGTGTAGGTAGGTTTTACTTAAATTAAAATCGACCATCTCCTTGGGGAAATTGGCATTTAAAATACCTCCCTGAGTACATCAAACGTTTTCCATTCAAATTAAGGGCGTAATGAACTATTTTTATGGGTAATCTGTATTAGATACCTCTTACCTTTAAGCAATGTATCGCATTCATATTACTGGATTTTCAATTCTTATAATTATAACACTAAACTATAATTTTGACTTAAATTATGTCACTGTGTCATTTAATTTCAACGACACGATGCTGTGAATGAATCTTTCTTTCACTGTGACGAAGTGGACAAAATAACATCATTTTGGAGTGACTACTGATGCTCAAATGATGTGTTTCAGGTACTGAACTTTTGTGGTATATATATTTTGACACTAAACTTTAAAATTTTCAATTTTAGGCACTAAACTTTTTTGGCCGCCCTTGACAACCGTCACCTGTCGATTGTCATCCTTCGCAACAAGGCAAGTATTAAAACATTTATTTTTCACTCATATTTCTTATCTTAGAATTTATTTTCAACTAAATCAGTAACACTCTAATCCAATTCGACCCAAAGATCCATGGATTATAACGATACACGGGACTACCGAAATAGTGATCCAAAAAAATTTCTTTTTAAATTGCTTGTAAATTTATGAAATTTAATCATCCATGATATAATATAAAAACATAATAAAATATGGGTTTACAATTTATGGGGAGCTCCCAAAATGCATCCGCAAAGTAATACAAATACAGAGTTTCAACAAGAGTTACGACTGAATACATAACAAGGTCTATAACAGTACATTCCCTCTAAAGATGACTCAAGATGTACTCTGAAAGGTCTCTGGAAATCTACTTTGTTACACCGGAATATCTGATGACGATAGCTCCCCACGATCTACTTTCTAAGAACTTGCGCACGGAAACACATTGAGTTTACGAGCTAAGTGTCTCACTAAAAACTGTACTATATTATATGCATTCACTAATGAAATGGCAAGTATCGATACTCTTGCCTAGAAACTCACGATTTTGCCTAAGAATAAGAACAAGTTTCGATATTATCCCTCTAGTATCAAAACTCAACCTGCAAAGAGAATAAAATAGGTGCAAAAACTCCTATTATACTATCTCAAAGACCTTAGTGATATCCCCAAACATTATTAATGTTTTATTAAGATATAAAGGAGCATAAATAGGGCTTTAAACATGTTTATAATTCTAAAACATGAAATATACCATGAGAAAGCTTTAAGCTTATGCAACCTACTACATTTCATCTAAATGACTTACATATGATATAGTTGAGTAAAGAGTGAGTTACCTTAGATGCTAAACTGTTGAAAACACCCAATGCTCAACTAAGAGTGAATTTTTCTTTCCCTTTTGCTTTGGAGTTCTCTCCAACTTCCCTCACTACAAGAGAATCAAATGAATTGATTACTAACTGATTTTAGAGGTTAAGGAGGGTTTAAAAAAAATTCCTAAGACTAGAAATATGTGAAAAATATATTGGAACCATCTAATTTCCTAAACCCTTCTAAAACCCGTTCTTGAAAACTATGGTGAAATGGGTGACTTTATAGCTTGAACCAAAGCTTGAGATGCAAGGGTTGTGATTCTTACCTTTAGAACATTGATTAGGGACTGGAAAATGATAAAGTTCACACCTTTACCTTGCAATGGAGGAGAAAAAAAGGGAACTAAAAGATATGAAGAAGACAAGGAATGAAGAAAAGGATGAAGCTTTCTCAGACGGTGATATCACCCAATTTTAATGATATTCATCTTTATTTTGAACAAGGTTAAAATTGCTTCCTTAGTCCCTCCAATTATGACTAGTGGTTCTGACACTGAAAATACCCAAAGTGAAGAAGAAGATGATGATTTTGAAACAGAGAAAAGCAATGACAATGGCACTGATGGAGAAGCCGAGACTTGGTGCCCCAGTATGGAAGGATTTCTTAGGTACTTGGTTGATAGCAAACTCGTCTTCAACACTATCGAGCGCATCGTTGATGAATCTTATGATGATTCTTGTGAGTTCTTTTTTTTTCCTTGCAGTTTTCTTTACAAAAATGGTTGCTTTTGTGGTTTATGTTCCGTTTTCCAGTTATCTACATTTTGATTTGTGTCAATGGAGAGAGTTACTATGAACTTTGCTGCTGTGCCTACTGAATGTGAATCCTGAGTAGCTTTGTTAAGAGTAAAATTTGAACCTTTGCATTAAAAAAGAGGTCCTTCTATTTCTTTTTTATGCCACCAATATCTGCCGTGTACTAGACCTACATGAATCAATTGTGCTAAGGTGTTCATAGTTATTTGAATTTCTTTTGTGCAAAGGAGGTTAATATGCTTGAATTTGAACTTCGGAATCCCTAAACTTATGAACAAACTAAATTAAGCTCCGGGTTCATGGTTACTTGCACGAATTAAGTTGCTACATTCTTGTCTTGTTTACAATTCATAGATGAAGAATTAACTTCTTATTTTGGTGGATCTTAACCCAATAGATTTGATTACTGCAGACTTGCATGTTTGTCACGCAATTTTATCACTTAAAAGCTCCTGCTTTCTTGGTTACTTAAGAATTTAACATTGAAGTTTGCTACAGATGCCTACTTCAGGAAAACTGGATTGGAAAGATCAGCATGCCTTTCTAAAGATCTAGAATGGTTTAGCCAACGAGATCTTGTGGTTCCTGAACCTAGCAATCCTGGAGTTTCGTATGTCACGTATTTGGAGGAATTAGCTGAGAAAAATGCCCCACTTTTCCTGGCCCATTTTTACAATATTTATTTTTCACACATAGCCGGTGGTCAAGTGATAGCAAGAAAGGTATGCATGAAAGTTCATTGGCTTCCACCTCTTTATTTCCCTTGAAGTACCTGCAATCAACATCTGCTGTGAAGTTTGGACACATTTTTAGATACGAGTATATGAAGATATGATCTTTCAAGGACTGCAAATATATGGAAAAACTTGGAAAAATTGTACATACTCATGTTTCACCTTGACATATATCTGACACCTACACCAGTGTCTAAATAACACTCATGATATACTGTTTCATAGTCTCTATTTGCATTGCTTGAAGTTGGACCATTGAAGTATTTCTAAATTTGAGCCTATAAAATTTTATAATGTTCTTATTTTGGATATCTAGGACCTTAGAAAAGTTTTTGTATGTGCTTTATATTGTGTCCTTCAAGAAACACTGGTCTGAAAATGAATTATGCACGCTAACAGCTCTCTCTACAAAGTGAAGACAATGCATTTTCATTAGTGATCATGAAAGAGCCTAAATTCTTTCTCTTCTTTTGGCCAAATAAAGGTTTTGTGAGACCAAGCCAATCATCTTTTTCTAATAGTTTGTTGTCTTCAGGTTTCTGAACAGCTACTTGAGGGGAGGGAACTGGAGTTCTATAAATGGGAGGGTGATGTGCAAGAATCACTGAAAGGTGTCCGACAGAAGCTCAACATGCTTGGCGAGGTTGATGATTGAGATCGCCCTGTACTGGATGAATAATCTGTTTACCTTTTCTGCGTTTTTCTTCTGACTTTTTCCGGCTTATACCGTGCAGCACTGGTCTCGAGACGATCAAAATAAATGCCTGAAAGAAGCAGCAAAGTTGTTCAAGTTTTTGCGAGAGATAGTTTGTTTGATAATCTTATAAACGAGATTGGTTTCAATCGATGCTATGTTTATTTGTAAGCCTATAATCTTTTTCATTCATCTCCTCCCTCCCTCCTTTTTCTCACTTGCACTGCATGCCACTGATATTGGAATGTGACATCAAATCTGTCGATATATCCTTGAAATAAACCAACATTCTTCTTGCTCAAACTTTAGCTTAGGTTTCGAAGGTTCCCCATTATTTTAGCTAATATGTTGTGTTTTCTTGCTATTCACCAGGCGATCCATTGACCTAGTTGTCTGATTGTCGATACAGCCTACAAATGGAATATTGATATCAGTGTCGTGCATTCAAGAACATTGATGGACTTTAGTGGTGACATTGTTACCTGGGGACACAGACTCGGAAAAGGAAACAACCTTTGTTGAAAGCCATGAAAATAGTGGTGACTGCTGTCTCCACTGAAGATGTGTGAAAAGGAACGGCAAGTTTGACAGTGGCAATGTTTCTTGTTCTTGGTTGTTTGGGTTTTAATGTAACATGCATAAACAGTGAATTTATCCTAGTGGGTGAAATAATATGCAGGATTTGATTAAAAAAGAGAACCACTTTTATGTACTATTTTGAAATTTGAGAAGATATATAGCAAAGTGGGAATAGAATTAGATAGGACACATGCTTTTCATTGTTCTTTAAATTTGTACATGGAGACATGGGTATAAAGATAAGATCTTTCAAAGACCCTTCAAATATAAAGAGAAAAATTGAAGATACCTTGTTAGGAATTTCTTACAACAAGACTAGTTACCATTTTGTTGGGATCTTTCATCTAGACGAAGATCAAAGAGAATTAAAAAGAAGGGCCTTGTCAAATAATTGCAGTGTAGGATACTGGGATAAGCTACTGCCCTTCGAAGAGATAAGACACGCTTATTCTGGTTTATTTGGTTTTTGACAACTAGCTTTTGCCTTGATTTCCAATTAATGTAACTTAAATTTCACATGAACAGGCGATTTAATCCAGCAAATTTGATATCTTCATATTAGCCTTTTTTGTGTCAATTTTTCACGTTGAGGATTGAAGTAATCAGTAGATCATCAAAATGAGAGTCGTGTTGTCGATGAGTTGATCGAGTGGGTTCACCTATGGAATACCCTTATAGGTGTAATCGAAGGCTGATTATGGCTCGTAGAAATATGGTTGGCGCGCATGTTTTTCTAGGCTAACTTTAGTGCTAGATCGGCTGAAGTGTTACGATTTGAAGGGACGTAAAGATTGTCCGATCGGCAATACAAACCCCACAAAATCTTGCTTTGATTTATTATCATAATAACCTACCAACCCTTAACCATTTAACATTAATGCTCAATTTCTGATGCTTGAAATCGAGACAATAAGGATTAATTCCTTTATCACTTGCATTCATTTTTTAACCTATGCACTTTTTATAAAGGGAAAAAGGCAACAGAAAGCAAAAGTAGAGAGGCTGGAGGTACAAAAGTCAAACGGAGGTATGCATTGATTTTTTGAAAATTTTAAGAATTATATGACACACAAGGGAATTTGAAGGACACTTCAATTTCTCACTTTTGATTATTTGTTAGTCTCTATTAGTTTATGATCATTATTCCTCTGTTACCACATTAAACGTGTAACCTGCAGGTAATAAACCCAATACAAAATTTGGAGACACCGAGAGCTTCACGAATCTTTTGCTGAAGCCACAACTTCTGTTTTTCACATCCCATCGCCTTTTTAACTAATTTTATTTTAAGGAACAAAAAAAAATTATCCAGAAAAACATGTTTTTACTACTCAATGGTGTTAAGTAATGAACAACAAATCCAGGAAGGTTACTTTGAAGCCAGATTCAAGGAACATGGATATAAATTGAGGATAAAAAACAGCATTAAACCAAGTTAATATACTGCGATTGAGTGTGATAATATTTATCGTGAAGAATCCTGAAAAGAATATCATAAAAAATGTCGGTATGGTGTGCAAGTATCCACGGCATCAAACATGAAATTTATTTTTGTGATCTCTAACACTTCAAACACAGAGAAAGAACGGGGAGCAATAGTTGAGGTATTGCATGGGATTGTCTTGCATAAAACAGCACACATAGATTTCCACCAAAAAAGGACTGAAGATGTCCTTTCAAATCATAATAACCTGCAAGACTGAGCTTGCAAAGCGTTTTAACTTTGCAAACGAAACCAGCACTAGCATGTCGGCTTATTCCTTAGTGCTGGATCAGCAGGAATTCAAGGGTGAAAGATTGTCCGGTCGGTTGTACAAACCCCCACCAAATCCTGCTTTGATTACAATTTGCAGTGATTTTTTTAAAAAAAATTAAGAAGGTAGAGAATGTTTGTCCCTCCTGTGTTTCAGCTCATGACCATTTCTCTATCACCACAGAAAAGAACTTGTAATCTGCAAGTAATAAACACACTGAAAAGCTAACGGATGTTTTAATGAACCGACAACTTTAATTTTTCCCACCCTCCAACATTTCCAGTATCTTTTTAACTAATCTTGTCTTGAAAAAACTTACTAAAAAAACATGGTTTTTACTATTTAGTGAACACTTTGCAATGAACAACAATTCCAGGAAGATTAATATGAAAGCAGATTCAAGGAATATGGATATATATATATTGTATTTCTCCGGACTCCATCAATTCATTATTTGCTGGATTGCCTTTTCTTTATTTTTAATGTATGGTTTTTTAGTTTAATGCAACTTTATCTGATAAAAAAATGGGTGCAGGTTTCCACGGCATTAAACATGTAATTTATGTGATATCTAACAATTCAGATACATAGAAATAATTGGGGGTGGGGGGCAATAGTTGAGATATTACATGGGATCGTCATGCATAAAAGCAGCAGCACACATAGATTTCAACCAAAAAAACACTGAAACTGTCCTTTCAACCAGCAGCACACATGGGATGGGATTGCAAACGAAACCAGCACCAGCTTGTCACTCTGTCTATAAATGCCCACCCAAACCAAAACCTCAAACCCATCTCATCACTCATCGATACAAACAACATACCCTTTTTCCTATTTCTTTGGGCTTCGTTCAGATCTCAAGATGGCCAAAACCAACTCCAATCTCGCTGCTGCCCTTCTCGTTGTGCTTTTGTTTGCTTATGGAATCACATTTTCCCAGGAAACCCGGGTCCTGAAAGCCGACCATCAGAGTGTGAACAACTTAAACGGTGATGGATCCACCCGCGGTGGCAATGTCGTCAACACTGCATATAGTACCGATGGTTTCCGCCCCACAACTCCCGGTCACAGTCCCGGCGCCGGCCACTCCAGGGGACCCACCCGTAATAAACATAATTAGATATATCATACAAAAGAATAAATATAATTATTTGCTGTATGAGTATCCTATAATAATAACTGTTTTGAATAATGGCTTAACTCATCATTTGTAGCCTTTTTAATCACTGTCGTAAGTTATCTATCCGACGGTGAAGTTCGTGTAATAATTACAGGATCAGAAAGTATTCATAAGTACACCAAAAAATGCACCTTTATCTATCTTATAAAGTGATTTACTATTACTGTACAACACTTAATAAAGATTATTGCTTGTCTAATACAAATATAAAATTTAAAGTGTTTCAGATCATATTATTACTCATATTCTAAATTTATTATATTCAAGTAGATACATTTCTTTTCTATAATTTCTATGCATCATTTTGGTGTGGTGTACACCTAAAAAATAACGGTTGATATCGACCTGTTATCAATTTTATCTAACCGTTGAACCCACTACTGCATTTGATTAAGTCCTCTGCTTACACCCTAGCCGAGCTTTTCTTTCTCCTCCCTAAAATAACTCACATTCAACCTTTTAGGTTCCTTCCTTCTAGAAAAGAAAGTATTAACTCAATTCAATTCAAATCTTTTTTATTTTATAATATGAATCCTGTTGTAGCTGAGTAGTCGAACTTGACTGTGAAATGCTTAGTAAAATCAATGACTTGTCATTTATCCACGGAATTACTGAAAATTAGGGGTGAGCAAAACTCGACTGACTTGAAAAATCGATTTTTTTAATCTTGAGTTATTCAAGTCAACTTGAATTATAAGTTTGGGTTTTGAGTTCGAGTAGAGTTAAAATTTTGAAATTTCGAGTTACTCGAAAAACCGGATATTTGACAATTTTACAATTTAGTCCATGATTTCATTATTTCTGCTTCATTTTAAGTCAAATTTTTACTAAATTTGAACAACATGCTCCTAAACCATCTTAAAATACATATGTACTTTCAATTCCTCTTTTTGATACTATTTTTCAATTTAGTCCCTCAATTTTTCATAATTTTCTTATTTCTTCAATTCATCATTAATTTTAAGTCCTTTTTTTAATAAATTTGAACCAGATGCTCATATACCACAATGGAATACCTATGTAACTTCAATTCTCACTTTTTTACTAAAAAAATGTACTCTCTCTCTTTTTTATTTAGTCCATTAACTTTGTATTTTACTCAATTTGGTATTTTGACTACAATTGTTTTCAAATTCTTTCTTCCCATCAATTCCTGAACTCCTTTATACTCTGATCAATATTTTACCTTCAAAAACTTTCTTTAAAATATAATATTATGAATATATTTTATATTTTATATATTAAATAACATTATAATGTGAAAATAATTGTTAGAGAAAGTCAAAAAAATGGAACAAATATTTGTCATAATACTATAAATAATTATAATAAAATTAGTATATAAAACTCGAATAACTCGAAATTTTGTGACTCGACTCGATCAAATGCTCACCCTAACTAAAACAACATGCATATGTGACCTTTAGTATTATAATAAATCAAATTTATTTTAGAGAAAGTTTGCATTATATATTTATTTAATAAATAGAATATAACTTATTGAATATAATCATACAATGGACAATAAACTAAATATAAAAAGAAAAGAAAATAAATGAAAGCAGCCCAATTCGAACCCTCCAAGCTCTGAAATGGACCCAAAAAAATCAACCGCAAATTGGGTTGGAAGGAGCCGAAAAGACAACAATGGTTCTCAACCATACAAGTGGCTCTTCGACAGTTAGATTCATTACCTCCCTCAGGGTGTTCAAATCTAATCCGATTAAAAAAATAATCGAAAATCAATATAAAAAACCGATAACCCAAAAAAATCGAAACCGATTTAGTGTGTTTGGTTTTTTTTTAAAGAATCAATCGGTTCGGTTCGGTTTGAAAATCTGAAACCGATCCAAACCGAACCAAACTAATGGAATAAAATATTTAAGTTACAAGTTTGAAACAAATCTAGTCCGTAGCTCAGTGGTAGGCATTTGACTGCAGAATCAAGAGATCACCTGTTCGAATCCTGTTGGGCCCTATTTTTTAATTTTTTTTTCCTTTTGCTTTCTTGATAATACAAACTCTCCATGAGAATTTAACAAGAGTATGTTTAGACGAAAGCAAGCTGAGCCATTGGGAAAGAACTCATTTACCAGGAACTCTGCTGCTCCATTACCAAATCCCCAGCCACCATGGAACTCACATCAGAGCAATTTGTTATTTGTTTGCTAAGGCTTGGCCAAGTATTGGAGAAACTGGCAATGGTGTAGTGGTGTTAATCGTCGATGTTGATATTAGAGCTTTCATCTTCAAATTATTTGTGTTGACAAGCTAATGTTTGAACTGCCTGTGATTAAGCTTTGAAGCTAAGCTCTTAAAGAATAGCAACATTTGGTATATGCAAATTTGTGTTGGAAATGCAATTTTAGAATGAACACCGAAGGCTTAATGATTTTTATTGTTGTAGACAGGGCATCCCTCTTCTCTGTTCAAAAAACTACTAGTCCCGGAAACGATGATTGCATAGGTCGAATGAACAAAGTTCCGGAATTACCATTTTATGATTGCATATATCGAATGAATGAAGTTCCGGATCTACAATTTTAAGAGTACTCACTCTATTTACATTGAGCCAGTATTGTAGAAACAAATACATCAATGTTCTTGTCTGAACTTCCACCTTCAGACACTGCTTCAACCGCCAATTCCTTCCATTTCTGAGCATTTTCTTTCATTGCTTTCCCTTTCTCCCCTTCCATAATATGTCTAATGTGTTGTTGCTTTGAATTATTTTGAAAAATTAAAATCCAAAAACCGTACAAATCCAAACCGAACTTAATTGGATCGGATCGAATTTTTTTTTAGAAACATCCAAACCGATCCAAACCGCAAATATTTATACTTTCGGATTGGATGAATTTTTAGCCAAAAATCGATCCAAACCTACCGCGAATACCCCTAGTTTCATCGGACTTCATCTAATGCGCGTGCATCATACCCCCAAATAACCATTTTGGATTAAATAATCCAAGTTTCTTACTTTCCTTGGACCAAATAAAAACCATTTTAAAACAAAAACAAATATTCAAACTGTTTTCTAATGTTCCCGTTCAACAAATCAATTAGCTATGAACCCTGCATAAGAGAGGGACGTTAATGGCTCATTTTCGGTAGGATTCGTTGTATTTTGTATTTAATTAAATAAAAGTAAAATGAATTTTATGAGTAGCGATATATTCATCCAAAATTAGAATCAACGTATATTATAAAATATTACGTTAATATGATATTATATCTACTCTATTTTTACATACTTTTTCTCACTCTCACTCGTACAATAATATTTATTTATTTTTAAAAAAGAAATATTTTAAAAAATTGGTAATACTTAATTCAAATTCATTGTTTTTTTTAAATAAGGTAATTATTACTTTAGAACATTGAGGTTTTACAACAAAAAAGAATATTTATTGTACACATTTTAATAGTTTGAAAAAAAATAGAGATTGATAATTAAGTACATCCGCTCCTGGAAAACAAGTGAAAACAACAGGAAAAAGGAGTTAAAATTGAGTTAGTAAGTAGGTGAGTGAAGTCGACTAGAAAAATTAATTGTTTTGACTTATTTGATTTGGAAAAATTTAATTTGAATTAATTTTAAATTGTAATTTTATAAAATCGACTCTACTAAAATAATCAAGTTCAAATTAAATTATAAAATATAACTCGAATAATTTGAATAATAACTTGTATAACTCAAAATCTTTAGTAATTAGTTGATTAATTTTTAAGTTTGAATTGAGTCCCTTAACTCTATATGCATATTACATATGAGAAAATATATAAAAAAATATATGTATTTTATGTGGTTACAAAAAATCATTTAAATTTGAATCAAATACTATCATAATACCATAAATATTTACAATTAAATCTAAAATAGATTTCTAAACTCAAATTAATTTGAATTTTTTTTAAATCAACTTTGAATTATAGAATAAAATTCATGAATTTAAATAATTTGAAATTTTCGAATTGATTCAGTTGGTCTGAATCGAACGCTGACACTTTAAATGTAAGGTTGTAATAATTAGTGGAGTGACACGCTCCCTAGGAAGAGTGGAAAGGAACCTGTTTAATGACCAACAAGGTCAAAGGAATTGGACTCGAATAACGTGAGATTCTTACAGCCTGGATAATGGGCCCAGCCTACGTGGAGAGCGTTGAAGTCATCTGCTTTTGACGGTGTTCTGTTTTGTTTTTTCTTATTTTTATCGTAATGGTTGGGTTGATTGGGAGCCGTTGGATCGACTGAGGCAACCTAAAGGTAGTCAAAAAAGGTATACGGGACCCACTTTTTCCAAGTGTTAATTTAATTTAAAAAGTTTGTTTATTGCCAGTGTTTTAAACGCTCCCAATAACTAGTATGCTTGTTTCACAACTGAATTTTACTTTATTATTTTTATTATTTAATGTTAATTATAATCAAAATTAAAGCTTAATTTGATTAGTATAATTATTATGAAAATATTTAGAAGATATGAGTTAGAAGGTTATAAATTTATCCGGAGTAAGATTTGAAAAAGATACTTCCAATGAGGCAAAGGGTAATTTTAATCTCAATTCTCAAATCCTACAGAATTGGAACCATAATGGCTAAAAAAAAAAATTGTCAAACACTTGTTTTAAAAAATAATTAAACATTCTAAAGCCGCTTTCCTAGAAGTTCTCTCTTCTCGGTGGACGCCTAACCTTTCTTATATAAACCACTTCTCTCCCTCTTTCATCGCATACACGTTCTCCTCTTTAAAAATGGAAGGAGTGAATGGATATTCATCTTCATCCTCCGGTACATCTTCTTCTTCAGAGTCATTTTTGTCAACAATGGCTTCCAACAAATCCGACAATATCAAAGTTCCATGGAGTGCCGAGGAAGATAGGATCTTGATTCGGTTCGTCGAGAAACACGGACCTAGGAACTGGTCTTTGATGAGCCGTTATATAAAGGGTCGATCAGGGAAATCTTGTAGGCTTAGATGGTGCAACCAGCTCAGCCCCAACGTCCACCATCGTCCGTTTTCACAAGCCGAGGACGACACCATCTTGGCTGCTCAGGCTAGGTGCGGTAACCGCTGGGCCACCATTGCTAGATTACTTCCGGGGAGGACAGATAATGCCGTGAAGAATCATTGGAACTCGACTTTGAAAAGGAGGCAACACCGGAAAATGGAGGGTGGGATAGTGGATTGGGAAGCTTTGTCGACGGTGCTGACTCTTGCGCCGCCTGAGGGTGGAACTATGGTGACGGAGATGAGATGTCGGAGGAGAGAGAACAGACGGAGCTTTGGGATGTAAATGAGAGATGTGATAGCAAGAGAAGTTAGAGAACGTATGAGTTCAACTTTATCATTAGGATTGCATTAAGCCAATATGTTTTTTCTCTGTATTTATTTGAGGCTTTTTCCCATTTCTCCTGGTGTTTTTATCTTCCTTCTTCCAAGGAAATGTAAGATTTTGTGAATGAATGGCTGAGCTCAGGGCATTATTAAACACAGATTAATGTCCCTATGTTTTTGGGAGAAGAATGAGTACGTTCTGTCAGAGTGCTGAGAATTTAATCAGTAATGACTAATAGTATCAGTAAAGCAACCAGCAGAAGAGAATATTCATCAAATAACTTCTCCATAACAGATGCAGCTTAGATGCATGGGATTTGATTTGAGTGCCTAAGTTCAGACAGTGTGGGCCTTGCTTGTTCAAAACACGGGGAAACCAGACTCACTTCATCAAACACATCTCACTTACATCACCAACTTGTGCTTTCATATCATTGGATCAAGGCATGCATGTTTTAAATGTGACGATGCCTGGTTTTAAAAAAATACAATTTCTTTTTTTATGCAGTTAAAACACGTGATTGTAACCTGCCACATTACTACTATGTTATTCCAGTAACGGCTGGTAACTTGTTTTTTTTTATAAATTTAATGATCAAATCATTACTTTTAAAATATCAATGGAAAACAAAAAAATGTACTCAACATCAGTGATCATTTATGTAGTTTACCCTAATTCATGTATCAAATGTGGTTTAAAAGTATGTTTGAAGAAAGAAAAAAAAAGCAAAAGCAAAAACAAAATTCCATCAGCCACTTCAGTAGTCGGTACTTGCCTACCTGGAAAAGTTAAAAAGACTGAAGAGTCTAAAATGTAAAGAAATAAACTATGGGTGTAGGCAATTACACAGTTCCGCACATTGGCCAAAACTGACAGTTATACATGTCTGATGCATATAAACATGAAATATTGACTGTATTATATAGTTCATAATGTACAATGTTTCAGAGAAACCTGGTGGGAATATATTCGTTTATTCTCAGGGGATAACTGTAGAATTCCTCCGTTCGAGCATCTCCCTTTCTGTTTTGGAACGGTTTCCACCACGGAATTCCTCGATCATCCAATTGCTACGCTTCTAGTGTGTTATCAAGCACCGTCCCGACAATGATCGCCACAGTTGCAGGCGATGAGAAGATCGTGTTCAATATGTTAATAAACTGCACATGGATCAGAACCGGATGGCATACCGAACAGATGAAGCAAATAGACCAGAAACTCGGGATTGCAGAACATAAACTTACCCATCCAGCATCTGTTCTAACAGGTCCATGACCGTCGTAAGTTGTGTTCATTGCGAAGTATTGAGGAATCGAAAGCCCCAGGAATAGAGACACCCAAAATCATAGATGTTTCTCATGGAATTACTTTTTGCAAACTGTATGAATGTGATCCCAGGAGCAGCTGCTTGACAGAATTTCGAATTAAAGAAACAATAAGTAATGGATATAAAAACTATCACTATTGAAAGGTCACTCACCAACAATGCCCAATAATATACAGTATATGGCAGCAAATATTGGCAATGGAATAGAGGCAAATAATGCGCCAAATTTCCCTGAAAGAATGTAGGTGCGCAATCAAGAATAAACTTGAGTCAACAACGAAATTAATGACCGAGTACGAAAACAAACCAAATATGGAGAAAAATATCATGAAAGCAGTCGAAATCTTCACCACCCTTCTGCTTCCTGTACGCGCAAGTCCGAGAAGGCCAACGTTTTCTCTGCAATATCATTTGGTTGAGACATGGTGCTGCCTTGCACTAAATAAAATGGAATTTCTCTTTAAAAGATCGATATTTCCTTACACTGATGCGGTAGTACCAACAAGAGAACCAAAAAGCCCTTCAAGCAGCATTCCGATACCCTGCATTTAAATGCAAGATGACTAATCTTCCTCACGGACAAACTAATATCACAAGATTCAGGAACCAGGACTACAGTACAGCCGGTTATTCTAGAGAAATTTTCAGTGGATAAGTTCCGAAAACAATCTAGGAAGGACCTGTAAGCCAATACTTCTACTGAGTACATAAGTCGGAGGGGCCGTTGCACCAGAAAGGCGAGCTGCTGCAAAAAATGTTCCTGTTGACTGCAGTGAAAATCATAGAAAATGTTTGTTAACTGATGGTTCTCTATTTTAACTGAGATAATGTACAAAGGGGCATATAGAAGTTCAGATTCAAGACATGATAAATGAAGTTCATGTAGCTTGATACGGAGTAAAGTTTCAAATTTGATGGAGTGAACCTCTGCAGACGAAACCAGTGCAGCACCTATCATCGAATAGACATGGCTAGCTCTGAAAACAGGAGAGCCCCACTGAAATGGATATGAAATTTTAATCCTAGAAACAATGACTCGTAAAAAGGAGTAACTTTGCAGATTCAGTTCACTAAATCAAACAAGAAGTGCAGCGCATCATAAGCATACCATGGAGACTATGATATTAGGAAAGATCGATCTGTGCGGCAACTCTGTTTAGTGGCATTTATACATTGTTGTAAGCACCAGACACAGTGAGGATAGCTGCAAAAGCCCAGATAATTCCAATGCAAAAAAGCAAAGCAAACCTCTCAACTATTGCATGAGCCCTTGAATGGAGGCGCTTCAGCTACTGCAGAAAACATGTATTATTATCAAATTAATAAAGAAGTGTCCGGGAAATGAGTGTCTGATATATGTATTTGTCTAATACCAATTTTTCAAAAGGGGTGTTCGATACTAGTATATATAAAAAAATTTAAAATATATTTATATATATTTGAAGGATTACAGTCGGACCTATATCAGAATATTCCGAATATCCGAAAAAAAACATAGATTCATCATAGTTTAGGTGAACAGAGTATTGAATTTACAAAAAGGAGTGATAGACAAGATAAATCATAGAAATTTCTTAAAGTATTTATCTAAAATAAACCAAAACTAAACTTTAACGTAAACACTTCAAATCAAAAGGTAAATGGTTGACAAAAACAGAGGAAATAACGAAGAGAAACTGACGCCAAGAAGGGTTGGAGTGGATGCAGTATTGAAGCTGATGGAGTTGTTCAGAAGGAGTCCAAGTAGGCCCCCTTGAAAGCGTTAGATTCGGTGGTGCAGCCGGCGGTGGAGCAACGACTTGCGGTGGCGGTGGGTGGTGATGATGATCTGTTTCTCCCATCTTTCCTTCTTCTCTTTATCGTTCTTTTCGACTAATAATAACCTTGTTTTTTTTGCAGTCCTTTTTAATCTCTCAATTCAAAGAGCAGATAAGCAAATGGATTTTTTCAGATTGTATAAATAACAAAGTGATGAAGAAAGTTAAACATAACTGAAGTAGCTTCTGCTTTCTTTTTCTCCAATAATGGGAAACTATTAAATAAATTTTTTTTAAAAAAAAGCCAGTTCGGTTTTCTGGTTTTTAAGAAAACTTTGAAATACAGTACGTTAAATTTTGTAGACGCGCGCGTGGGAGTTTCTTCGATCTTCACTTCAAGTACCTGACGATGTACTTTCTGTCGAATTTAGCTCAATTTCGTTGAAAATAACATTTGTGCCATAGACATTTCACGATAATGCTGTTTTTGGAACTTTGGGTCATTAAAAATGGACTGAAATTTCCAAGCAAAATAAACAAAAATGGTAGGAAATGACTAAAAACGTTTCAACATGTTTTTTTTTCATTTAAATATAAAAGAAAAAAAAATTATGCTTCAGAAATGTCAAAACAAAACATATTTTAATTTTGTTTTCCAAATTTTTAAGAAATAAACTATATTTTAAAAAATAAGAAAGAATTATAAATATTAAATTTAGAAGTGTAAATTGAATAGAAACTATTTTTTTTAAAGATGGAGATTGAATTATAAACTAATTTTAAAGTTTTCATGTAAATACAAAAATCAAATTTAGTATATAATCCGTACAATATAATTTTATAGTCATCAGATAATTAGTATAAATAAGTTTAATTTTTTATTGATACTTTAATTTAAAAAATTTATAACTGAATTTAATACAAACAAGCTACAAATGGAAATTTAAAAGCTCGAATTCCTTTTCAGGATTTGTATTAGTATTGCATAAATAAGAAAGGGAGGGTCAATTGGTAAATTTGGAATGATAACCAGATCCCATAATATTACTATATATTAGTATTAAATGAAGGATTTAAAATTTCGCGCCAGCCACGTGAAGGCCATGCACTGCGTGGGGACAACGACTTCAAGTTTCATGTTTTCGTTAAAAAAAAACAGTAAACCCCAAATCTACCGTTTAAAATAATTACTTCCGATTAAGTGAAGTGTGATACATTTTATTATGGGTGTTCTATTCGGTTAAAACCGAATTAACCGATTCAACTGAAATTTTGATCGGTTAATTTTGGGTTCGATCGGTTAACGGTTAATGTTTTTTTTTAAAATTCGGTTTCGGTTAATTTGATTCGAAATCGATTAATTAACCTAATTAATCGAATTAACTAAAATTATTAAATATTTAATATTATATATATATATATATATATTATTTAGTTTTAGGGGTGTTTGAACTCGGTTTTTACCGAATTAACCGAATAAATCAAAAAAATATTAAATATTAAATATATAACATATATTATTTATAAATTTCGGTTAATTCGGTTAACTGATCAACTAATCGAACTTAGTTCGGTTCGGTTAAAATTTTTAGAAAAAATTCGATTCGGTTAACGGTTAATGGAAAAACAAATTTGATTAATAGAATTTGGGTAATTTGGTTCGGTTGGTTAACCGAATTACCCGTTTGAACACCCCTACTTTTTATGGGATAATATACAGTCTAATTTAAGATTAAAGAAAGTATAACTAAAGTTGTTATAAAAAAATTTAGTAACATTTTCGGTTGAGCGCGACCTAAAATGTTAATTTTTTCTTAACATTTTCTGATTGAACCAAATATTTTACATTATGCATACCATTTTTTATTGATAACCGAAAATGTTATATTTTTCATAATATTTTAAGTTCAATTGAAAATGTTAAGAAAAAAAATTAGAAAAATTAATGTTTTAAGTTACACTCAACTGAAAACGTTGTATTTTTTATAAAATTTTAATTGCATCTATTATTGGTCGTTCTTTAACTTTAAATTAAACTACCGTACAACAAAATTACTCACTTTTATACATTAAAATTGAGGATTCTGATCGCAACAACAAAACAGTGAGATTAAAGTTAATGTTATTTTGTAAAATAATCTAGGTTTAAATCATTTTGTTTATAAGGTGTGTGTATTATTAATAATTAAAAATATTTTAAATAGATATTATCTCATAATCATCATAAATTATTTAAAAAATTAAAATATATGTTTTTCTATTCATCAATAATTTTTAAGTATAGTTTCCATTGGTATAAATGGAATAATTTTTAAATATGTAGATTAATACAGAATAATACTTCTTTGAAGGTTATGCAAACTTTCAGAGTATAAAATTACGATAAATTTTGTAGTCGAATCAATCGAAAGCAAAGGATTAACCTATAGCTTAGTGAGGCTAATATTTTGATTTATAAATAAAGAGTCAAAGTGATTACAATTAATTTATTTAATTAATCTAACGGAGGACGACTTATGATAAGTCAACCTCGTAATTATTTTAAGTATGTTTTCTATTTTAAATATGAATTATTTATATAATGTTTGTATAAGCTTTATGGATGATTTAGGGTATGAACTGTCCATGTTCTATTTTGACCATTATGAAGTAAAAAAGATTCTAAATTTAAAATATTGATTATGAAGCGAATAAGATATGATCTGAAAGTCCATTGTATGTTGCATTGAGAGTCGTAGGTACAACTGGCATGCCATGAGGTGGAGTGATTCTAATTATGATTTGGTATATTTGTATACATTATGTGTAGCACCAGTGCAAATGATACGATTGCACTTGGAGTGCATAATCTGATTTTGATGGAAACACTGAAGTGCTTATTGTGTACACTCGTCTGACTCACATACCTTGTATTCTCTTACATATGCATTGAGCTATAAATATGAAAGATAAAAACTCTGAAATATATTCAAATAAAAATGAAATAGGAAAGAGAAAGTTCTAAAATGTGTCTTAATGTAAAAGTTTCTGAAATGTTTATGAGAAAAGGAATTTGAAATGTTTATGAGAAAAAGGAATTTGAAATGTTTATTATGATTGATGTTGATTATTATGATTCTCAAAAAATCATAGGATTATGATTTTTAGATTTATGACGAACAAAAAATGGTTTGAATAAGTCAGTTTGGAATTTCAACGTTTTTATTTGAATTTGAATTTTAATGTTTTAAATTATTATTATGATTTTTTTTATTTTAGCTCACCTTAAGTAGTTATACTGCCTCACTAAGTTTTACTTAGTGTGTGATGATTTTCACGCGTAGGTTCAGACAAAGAAAATAATGTGAAGTGAGGAGCCTCTTGATGCATCTCTTAAAAAATCAACCTACCTACAATATCAGTAAAACTTATCTGGTATGATTTTGATTTTAGTGGCATGTATAATTTATCTGTTTGGTAGCTCTGATAGACTTAAATTTAAAAGGGTTTATAATAGTAAATTAAGGTTGTTTTATCTTTATTTGCATAATTATATATGAATGCATGATTGAATAGTCTTAGATTTTAAAGGTAAATCAAATGATTTTAAAGTTGTTAGCATTTAGAAACAACACTAAACTGCTTAGTAGTTGTCTAAAATTGGTTTTGATTTTAATGTTAAATTATCATCTTACGATTTTACCCGACTAATAAAATGGGTATAATTTGTTAAACTGAAATTTTAAATTAGATCAAAATATTAAGAGCTTTATGTTCAATGAAAGTAAGAATGTTTAATGTGACATCTATAACTCTTAATTCAATACTTATACGAGTTATGGGTGTTACAGATATTATCTGGCAAGATAAAGTTTGTGGTATCGCAAGTTGTGTTACTGTGCGTTAATCATACTATTGTTGTATCCTAAGAGACAGACGACCAAGACATCTCGAGCATCAAGGATTGACCGAAAATTTGTCTTAAGGAAACAACGTAATTGTAGGCCTCAACGAGTTTCAAATTCGATATTATGTTAATATTCTGGTTCTTTTTTCTAAACTGTTTCTTCTATTTTATTAATAAAAGTTCGATCTTTTATTTTATTTTATTTTATTTTGTTTTCGTCTCGGATTGTATAACATAAGTACTAACAAAGCAAGAAGTATGAACCAAGCGATCTCGATGGTAAAATAATTATTGTTATTTCTTGAAGTTTCGAACTTGAGTACTGCAGGATATGAGCGTTGAATGTTAAATAGTTAAAAGATTTATCTTTAAATAGATGTTGTCATGTACTCATCCCAAATTAATAAAAATTACTAACAAGAAGAACAATATTAATGACACTATTATTAAAATCAGTTACGATTAGTAACAAGAACAATGGTCACAAAATAATAAATAAATCATAGTTTTGCGTTGCAGTCTCTTTAGATCTCTGTATAGAAAGCATGGTCCGTGACACGATTCTCTTGTAATAACAGATTACGTAAAAGAAAGCAATATGTTTCCATTAAGTGAAAAGGTGAAAAATATACATCTAAAATGACCCCTTGGTTGGTGGAATGTCATTTAAGGAAACAACCAAAACTTTAAGCTATAAGGCCGGTCAACATTATTTCAACAGGTACCAAGCATTTCCAGGCCCACTTGTTGCCATTTTACCCTTCTCTGAATTGGTAATTTCCCTATTTAATTTAATTAAATAAATTGATATTTTATTGAACCAAATGATAATAAATCATTAAAAATGATTTTTTTTAATAAAATAAACATATCAAGATGTCGAAAGGGGTGAAATGGTTATACTTCAATTGCTTTTATCGGCAATGCCAATCACTGAGACAGCCAAAAGAAATTGGAAAATCACCGTTTCGAAAGAAAGATGAACCAAATACAATAAAATGTGGCGGTGTTGGGATTTTATGCATCAAAGCCAAAGAAAATTCACTTCCACAGAACAGAACTGCTACTACCGCCGTAAGGCGTGTCGTTTATGAATAAATTCTTTCCCGGAGCAAAATGTTGAGAACAACTTAGATTTACATAGTCATCAAATAAACAAAACGCTAATAAGAAACTTGAAACCCACTTATTCAAATGGTGAACAGTCGGTCATCTTCACACTTCAAATCTGTCCCTGCTGCTGAATTGTAAGCCCAGACCAACCAAAATCCACATCAACCAACCCTTCATATTCGGTTGTTGCTTGCCATGTATTACCACTATTTCCGCCATTGGAACCACCAAGATAATCCCAAACCCCATCAAACCCTGAACCGGCACAAAACTCGTTGTCAGCAAGTGCCAAGTACCCTTCTCCCTGAGAATTCAACAATGAAGTGAAATCCATTTGAGGTTTAACACCGGTTCCAGGCATGACGGAGGCAGGGTTAACATCCGTAGTCAAAGACGCGGCTTCACGCGTGACACTGAAGGAAGAAGATCGAGAGCGCTTGGAAGCCTTTCGGGTGCCACCACCAACAGGAACGTTACGCAGAGTTCCACCATGAGTCCAGTAACGACGGCACGACTTGCAAAAGTAGCGAGGCTGAGAGAGGTTATAGTTGTTGTAGTAGCAGAACTTGGTGTTGTTTGAGTCACACCTAGGACATGAAAGTGGGTCGGTCTGTTGAGGTGGTGGGTACGACGCCATGGTTCCCGGGACTCGAACCAAACGCCTGTCGCATGCATCAGCTGACATTTTCCTTGGATATTGTGGGAAGTGATGGTTTTAGAACTAAAATCTTGGGGGAGGGGAGTGATAAGCAAAGGAAGGGAATAAATAAATAATGCCTTGTATCTTGCTCCACAATTTATAATTATAACGGGGCGAGTTTAAATTATGTCAAATGTGAAGGGGAATGCTTGAAAGAGAAGCAAAGAAGTTGAAGGACATCATGATTGGTTTCGTTGGCTGCTGCCTCTGCCTACGATGTCTCCTACGGCCTATTTAATCACTCGGTTGCCGTGATCTTTGCTCCTTTAATTTTCCCCAAAAGCACAGAGTAAAGGTAGTTCCGTAATACTTGTATTATATTTTATAATCATATGGTAATAAAAAATTGTTTTTATGCTAATCAATTTCCTTATTGGACACTGATAAATGTGTGGGTTAGCCAGGGGGCAAAGATGACTCGTGGCAGGTAGATATTCGTAGGGAAACAGGTGTGGGGCTCTGAGAATCTGTATCAGCAATCAGCCGTGAAAGCATCCAATTCCAGTGACTTTAAGAAAGATTCCCACTCATCTATTGTATACCGATTAGAATGCGAGACTGCCTTTTCAGTGTTCAGACATGTATTGGTTGACTGATGTGTAGGACACCAAGTCTTCTTCCAACAACTATATTGACTTTTTGCACTGTGTTTACATTACTATTGTATCTCAAGATAGCTTGAATAAGGAGTGTGTGACACTTCCATATGACTTACACATTGCTCCCTTTTTGCGCTTCCTATGCCTATGGGATGAGTATTTCAATTTCCCTACTATTTCAATGACTAATACAGGACAACAGTTTGATGTTGGAATTCATCCCCGATTCCCACTAATTTTTTGTGTGTATTTCTTTGAAATTCAATTATAAATTTATCTCATAGTTTTCAGTCTATAATACATTGAAGAATCATCATCTCCTAACGTGAGACTTTGCTAAATTTGTTACCGCACCCTCCTATCCCCAATAGGTGCGGACATTTGATTAATTGGATCGTGACCTCACAAAGAAAGGATCATCCTTCTCCTATATGAAACATTAAAACTGTATATTCCAGCTCCAAAAATAAAAAGATTAAATTACCGACGGATTTTCCATAATTGTCTACTGCTTACATGCACATCGTCTTGTTACACGACACTACGCGTTTCCACTTCTGTTTATTCATCTCTGTTTCTTGCAGTGGACTTGTGGTCTAAAATCAAAGTCCAGAAATTTCTTCGACATTTCTTATTTGCTCGCCGTAAAAGGATCAAAGGTTTGGTATTTCAATCGCATCAGTCTTATTATTATCATTATCATTATAGAGAGAGAGGAACAAATTCGATTGTTCATGGCTGGATGCTATTTGATTCTTATTCACTATGCATTCGAACCATTCACTGAACCTGTTTTTCACTCACTGAACCAAAATTAAAAATGTAAAAACGAATCATTCCAACCAACATCATGTGTTTTGAGTTTTTCAAATAAAAGAGTTTTTCAAAACTTTCTTACCTTCATTTAATCTAACCACATTTCCTTTGTGTTAGGAGTAAAAAATTTAATTTAATTTATTTATTTTACAAATTTACTCTAAATTTTTATAATTTTTTAATAAAAATAATTCCTTCAACTGGATCTCTCAGTGTAGTTAAGAATGGGTAATTTAACTTAATCCAACGTGTTTCGATTCAAGCCGATTTGAAAAGACTTGATTTTTTTTTAAAAAAAATCAGGTTCAGGTTAGATTAGGTCAAATTTTTAAGGAGTGAGGTCGGGGGTTCGAGTGGAGGGTGAAAAAACTCCAACCTGACCCGAGGATAATAATGTAACTTCTTTTAAAAAAATATTATTATTTAATTAAATCTTTAATTTATATCGGGTCGGGTTGAAGTCAATCGAAAGATAAAAAATTTTCGATTCAGACCAAATTCAGATAGAGGATACTTATTTTCGGATCAGGTCAGGTTCACCAAAACCAGACCCTAACCCAATCCATTCCCTCCCTAATTGTTGCTGAATCTTCCGTAAAAACTATTTCGGAAAATAATATTATTTCAAATCTATTTTAAAATTTAATTTTCTTTTTCATTTTATCTCAACAGAAAAAGTTACTCTAAACATAATAATAATCAAATGAAAATTTTGTATCTTGAAGAAGCATGCTTGAGCACCAAGTAAATAACCTCAATGATTAATAAAATTGTTATTTTTTGAGGTCTCAAATTTGAGTTATCGAGTTGTTATCGAATAATTTTTGGACAATTAAATACTATATATTGTATGGATAAAGTACATAAATATTCCCCCGAATATAGGATATTGCTTTATTAAGTCTTTCAACTATTAAAAGTTATAAAATAATCCTCTAACTATAGAATGTTGCTTTATTAAGTCTTTTGACCATTAAAAGTTACAAAATGATCACCCGACTATTCATTAAGTTTCAAGCTCATCACTTTCCGTTAAAAGTTGGTAATTATCTAAGTTACACGTTAACGTGATGATTGAGATATGATAGTCGTTTGATATTTTAGGATTAGATTTTATCACAATCAACAAGTTAACGTTCAGCTTAGAATATGATCAATTTTTTTAACTGAAAATGATGAGTTTAGAATATAATGAATAGTCAGGTTTTTGTAACTTTTAATAGTCGAGTGACTCAACAAAGCAACACTATATAGTCATAGAATCATTTTGCAACTTTTAATAGTTGAGAGACTTAATAAAATAACACCCTATGGTCAGGGACTATTTGTGTACTTTACCCATATTGTATTTACCTTTGAATTATAAAAGAGAAGGCACGTTTGATTTAGTCGAGTGAATAGATGGATCGATAACTCTTTATAAAGATACAAACTATCGGCGTGTTAATATATATGATCTAATTTTCTTAATACTTGAATCATAGAGATTCACGAAACAATTCAATGTGATGCATTTATTTTTGAAATATTAATTTTTATAGTATAATTCAATTTATTAATCAACTAATTTAAATCATGTATTGTAGAAATTTAATATAGGAACATTTCTCTCCATCTATTTTGCTTCATTCACAAATGTCATGATTCAAATTCTCTATTCTTGCTTAAGATATCTAATGCCTCATCTCACCACACTAACTCGTTGTTAGTTGAGATATATTTTTTTTGAAATAGAAACAACTAATTTTATTAAGAAATAAAAATCTAAAATTACAATGAATATTTACAACTAGAGTCGTAAACTAAACATAACTCATTAAGTGGTCTCAATTATAAAAGGAAAGGTTACTCTTTCTAAAAATTCTATGTTCGAGCAACCACATCTTTAGTGTATATGCATATTATCAATAAATTAAGATTTTTTTTAACAAATACTATCTGACTAACCACAACTAAACATTATGAGAAAATTATTTACAAGCACAGATCATGTATCCCAAGAACGAGCGGCGACAAAAACGATTAAATATTTGTTCAATTTGAGGGAGATATTCATGGCGACAGACTCGCTGTTATTATGACGATAGTTGGATTTGAGTGGACTAGAGAAAACTGTGAAGAAGAGCATCGAAAGAAAAATTAAGACAAAATCGAATGGCGAACATGACGAATTCATGTATCCTGACGATGCTGGAAACCTTCCTTCTTATGATGGTGAGTGATTCAATCAAGAAAGCTACCTGCCTGGTTAGTTCTACCATTCTCAACAAATATCTATACTCCATATTCACTCTCGAATTTTATTTTATTTTAAATAAAAAAACATTTTAGATAACTAGATTAAAAAAAAGAATATATTTGAGTATTTATTTTGATCAAATTTAATTATTAGGCTTAAATAATCTTAATAAGATTTAAAATGGACTAATAAATAAATACAATTTAAAAATATTTATTTATTTCCAACATTATTATTATTATTATTATAAGTTTTAAAATTCATGCAATAATTTAAAGAAAATATTTATACAGAGAAAATAATCATAACAATTGACATATTATATTTTCAAAATTTGTTATAAACTGAGCAGCTTAAAATTTTGTAAAATAAACCGATTTACTGATTGGAATATTTATAATGTTCATGTAAAGGAATTCAGATATAAAGAAATAATATGAAGTAGAGACAAATAAAAGATGTGAAAAATTTTATTGAAGAAAGATTTACCTTAATTCATCTCCATTTTTCATTTGAAGTATGGTCAAAGTTAGAACTCTAGATGTGAAGAACAGATAGATTGAGAAGAGAGAAAGGGAATGAGTGATGAAGAAACATGAAAGTGATTTAGGGATTTTGACAAATAGTCAAACGAGATAATAGGAGAAAAACTATATTTCATAACAAAGCCATATTTCATTAAAAGAGGGAAAGCCCATTATTTATATAGAATAGCCCATAGGAAACCAACAACAGAATAGCCCAAAGAAGGGCTAACAAACTAACTGTCACATAACATAAAGATAATACTTCATCAAATGATTGTTGTGAATAACCCTTTAAGTACCAATGATTGTTGACGGATGACATGGTGGTGGTGGTGTAAATGAAGGTGGAGATGGTGGTGAATGAGATGTATGAGATGCATTTTGTGATGGTGAAAGAGCTTGCAGTGATGTTTGTGGAGATTTGTAATGGATGAAAAGATGAAGATGGAGAATGATGTGAAAATGATGATGATAGATGTAATGGGGATGAATGGAATGAATCACATGAAGGAGATAATGATTGAAATGAATTTTGCTATAGTGATGCTGGTTGAGTGGAATGATGAGAATGTGATAACATATGATGAGGTGAAGATGGTAATGATGTACTGTGAACGGGTATAACATCAAACTCATTGAAAGAAATATGCGGATCATAAGTTGGTGGAGTTGAAGACACACGTGGACACAATGACTGAGGAGCTAACCCCCAACTATACTGTTTTGATGACCCTGGAGACAAAAAAGACAGCCTGTTTTTGTAAAAAAGGAACTGAATTGAATTTGATTTCTTTAGCAGGTTTCTGACCACGGGAAGAAGAAGAATGTCTCTGTCTAATTTGATAAGGGAAATCAGTCTTCTCAAATCTAACATGCCTAGATATATTGTAATACCCCAAAATTTTGGTTAGTAAACAAAAAATAAATTTTGAAAGTTTAGTGGCCAAAGTATAAAATTGGAAAAAGTTCAGGGACCTAAGTGATAATTTTTTCAAAAAGAAATTTTATTCCATAAATTGATAGTTTACTCTTAAGAGTGAGGTTTTGTGGAAAATTAGTTTCTTGATCTGAAAATTTTGTTAAAAACTAGAAAGTGTTAAAGTCCGATAAAAATTTGGTAAATCGGATCGAATATAAATTTTGAGTAAATTTGAAAGAAATTAAATTAAGCTTAGAAATATTATTTCCACATGTTAAAATTATGAAAAATAATATGGAGCATTGAATATGAGATTTTATTTCCATGTTCAATTTAGACCTTTAGATGAAAATGGCAAGATTGAAAATTTTGGAAAATGGCATGTGCAAAGTTGTAAAGGGCAAATTAATTTGTTTATATTTGACTTTATAAAGATGATACAGGTTATTTGGCTTGGTGTGAAGGTAAATATCAAGTTTCATTAATAGTAAAATGAAACTTTCTCATTATTCATTTAAGCTTAAATACATGATAAATTAACATGAAATTAAGAAGAAATTTCATGAGACCAAGTCAATTTCAGCTCCATTCCGTGGCCTTCATGTCCTAAGGTAAGAGAAATTTTATTTTTCATTTTTGAGCAATTTCTTTTGGATTTTGGATCGAGCTGTGAAATAGAAAATTATTCTATTCGAAAAACGCCATCATTTGGTACCATTATTGCATGCTAATCTTGCTTATGTTCAAAGATACCGAATTCTAGGGTTTATGTTCATATTATGGTTTATGGAATTGATGATGAATTTTGATGTTTTTTAGGTCGTAGAATCGTTTCCAAGCTTGTATGATGATCAAAACTTCCTATAAATAATTCAATGATGTTTCGGCCTAAACCCTAATTTAGGGAAATTTATGTTATGATGAAAATTGATTAGGACTTTGATTGTAGATATTTAATAAGGTTAAATAGAGGTTGATTTCATGCTCGAATCAGATCAAAATCTAGTAAAATCATGAAAAACCTAGTCTTGAATTTTCAAAGCATTCGACCTAGGCTAAGAAGGGTGAGAAATATTTTGGAAAAATTATGTAGGGCCTGGAAATGATGTAGGAAGTACTCGACAAACATTAGAAAATTTTGGAGACCATTTTGTAATTTTTGGAAAGTTGGGAGACCTATTTGACAATTATGAAAAAGTTATGGGTTAATGTGTAAATGTTAAATATTTGATGTACTATTCTTTAAATTAATGTTTGAGTGTTGAAATTGATGTTAGAATGTGAAATTGGATTATTTTGGGAAGTTGGTAAAAGTTAAGGCTTAAATCATAAATATGGAAAAGTTGGGAACTTAAGTGAAAATGTTATGTGAAATTTGGATAAAAAGGGACTTGAATAATAAATTTGAAGTGTTATGGTCAACAATTATATTGTGACATGAAGTTAGTATCGAATAAGTATCGAAAGAATTTTTAGGAAATTATTTTCTATTGTGTACCTATGTTAGTAAGATTCTAACATGTGGTTTGAATTTGAATATGTTTGTAATGATGTTCATTTAGATCATGTGCTTGAAATCAAGATCAAGCAATATTAAAACTAATGAAAAGCTTAAGGATGGAATATGAAATTATAAGGGAAGTTTTCAAGCTAAGGACATCAGGTGAGTGCATTTAATTTGTGTTTATGTTATCACAAAAACATTGGCTCGTGATGAGCCAGTGACAGGGTTACCATGGTAAGAAGTGACTCCTAATGTTATGTGAATTGTGAATCTAGTCTAAAGGTTCATTTATTTAGCATATAGAATTATGGAATTAAGCTAAGGATGTTAATTAAGGAAAATTGTCTAGAAATTTATGATTCAAATAGTAAGTTTAGAAATTCACCAAAAAAATATATAAAAATAATTAGAGGATGAATTTTATACCTTTCGATTTTTATACAAGTCTAGTTTTTTTCTAAAACAAACGGTTAATAATTTCGAGGTGTATAAAAATATATGAATTTTTAATCGATGATAGGTTAGAAAACATGGCTACAAATTATGCTCAAAATTGCTTCTGTCAATCAACTTTGAAAACTCGCTATTAATTGTTCAAGTTGAACAAAAGAATTTCCTTATATGGTTAGATTTTTATTTGAGTATATTTTTTAGTGGTATTAACGGAATAATTTGTAAGCATGTAAATTAATACAAAATAATATTTATTTGAAGGTAGTGTAAACTACTAGAACATAAAATTTTGATAAAATTGGGTAGCTGAAAATGTGAGAACAATGGATTAATTCTAAAGCTTAGTGAGGCTTATATTGTGATTTATTGATTAAGCGTCAAAGTGAATGCACTTTATTTATTTAGCTATTTTGATTGAGGATGACTTATGATAAGTCAACCTCGTATTATTTAAAGTATGTTTTCTATCTTAAGTAAGAATTATTATTTTCATGATGTTTATGTCTTATGAGAATGATTGGAAAACAAATTTGAAATGAAATATTGATTATGAAACAAATAAGATATAATCTAAAAGCCCATTGTATGTTGCATTGAGAGTCATAAGAACAATTGACATGCCATGAGGTGGAGTGATTATGATATACCGTGTTGTCGGTGGGTACACTAGTATATGATTTCGACGTGATTGCACTTTGTGTGCACAATACAATTCCGATGTGATTGCACTTTGTGTGTATAATATGATTCCGATGTGATTGCACTTTGTGCGTATGATACGATACCGACGTTATTGCATTTTGTGTGCATGATATGATTCCAATGTGATTGCACTTTGCGTGCATAATTATGTTTCCGATGTGATAGCACTGTGTGTGCTTATATGTTCTAATTATGTGCAAGCACCGTGTAGTGCTTGCACGCATACACTCGTCTGACTCATATATCTGGCATTCTTACATTGGGCTATGAAAATGAAATAAGGGAAGTTCTTAAAGTGACTGAAAGGAAAAGAATATGAATATGAAAAATGAAAGTTCTAAAATGTGTCTGAATGAAAAATATATGCAAAATATATTATTTCTAATGTTGATTACATGATTTTTGATAAATCATGAAATGATGATTTTCAGGTTTCAAGGGGAAATCAACTTGAACAGCTTAGTTTGAAAGTTTTAATGTTTTTATTATTTAAATTACAGTTTCATGCTATAATACTTTACAAAATTTATATTTTATATCATTTTTAGTTATGATGTTGTCTCACTAAATTTTACTTAGTGCATGATGATTTTCATGCGTAAGTTCAAATAAAGAACAATAACGTGAAGTGAGAAGTTTTTCGAGCATCTTTTGAAAATCAAACCTACCTACAGTATCAATAAGATATCCTATATTTGACTTGTTAGTGGCATTTACATTATATTTCTTGGCTACTTTATTGAATTTATTTTAAAAAGGTCTAGAATAGTAAACTAGGACATTTTATCTTGGGTAGTTTATTTATGTTCGTATTTATAATTAAATAGTTTACATATAATACTAAGTTTATAATTGGGTTTCAAAATCAAGCAGTGTTTAGACAATTTCACATAGTTTATGAACAATACCAAACTGCCTAATCGCTGCTTGAAATCAGATTCGTTTACAATGATTAAATATTATTTAATGATTTTTATACGATTAAGGAGAAAGTTTTAAAGGTGAAATAGGAAATGTTTAAAAAGAACAAAATTTTAAGCATTTACGTTCAGCAAATGTCTGCTAAGTTCATGTAACATCTTTAGCTCGTATTTCGAGATATATACAGGCTATGAGTGTTATATATATATATATATATAAACGACCATTAGTATCTAGACACTTGTAGCCTTTATGTGAAGGGGAATAACCTAGAAAGACACATTTTGACGACTTAAATTGAAGCTTATGTTTGGCACACCCAAAAATCCTGAGGAGACATACCTTCAAGAGCTCTTGTAGGAAGTTTGTTGATGAGAAAGATTGCACTGACGCATCATTCCAAAACGTCAAAGGTAATGAGGCCTGGGCAAGCATAGACAGGACAACTTCAACCACTTGACGGTGTTTCCTTTCTACTATATCGTTTTGTTCGGATGTGTGAGGACAAGACATACGATGAGTTATTCCTTGTTCTTTCAAGTAAAAATGTAGAGCACCAAACTCACCACCGCCATCCGTTTGAAACATAAGTTTGACATTAAATTGCCTCTCAACCTGTCTAAGAAACTGAGGAAACACTGTTTTAACCTCTGATTTGCGTTTAAGAAAATAAATCCAGGTATACCTACTGTATGCATCAGTAAATGCTACATAATACTTGAACCCATTAGAAAACACAGGTGTTGGCCCTAAAGATCAGCCAAAATTAACTCTAAAGGATGTGAATAAACTGTTTGAGAGTCATAAAAAGGCAATTTATGAGATTTTTCTAACTGACATGCTTCACACAAAATTTTCTCTTTATTGATGCATAAAGATGTTATATTACAACGTTTTAGAGCAGTATGCAAAACCTCTTTCGAGGGGTATCCCAGCCTCTTGTGCCAGGTTTCAAGAGAGACTTTTAGAGCACTAACCAAATTACAACTCACAACAGACTTATTAACAGCAATATTTTTATTACTAGTAGTTTGAACAATATTATTTGTAGATATAGCATGTATAGGCCATCAGTTTCACTTCCCTTTAAAAACACTTTATGGGTACGAAGATCACGAACTTAGGAGAAGTTCGAATAAAACTCAAGAAGAACCTGATTGTCCTGAGTAAATTTTGAAACAGACAACAAGTTTTTAGTTATACCAAGAACAAATAAAAGTTTTCTAATTGACATGCTTCACACAAAATTTTATCTTTATTGATGCATAAAGATGTTATATTACAACGTTTTAGAGCAGTATGCAAAACCTCTTTCGAGGGGTGTCTCAGCCTCTTGTGCCAGGTTTCAAGAGAGACCTTTAAAGCACTAACCAAATTACAACTCACAACAGACGTATTAACAACATTTTTATTACCAGTAGTTTGAACAATATTATTTGTAGATATAGCATGTACATACCATCGGTTTCACTTCCCTTTAATAACACTTTATAGGTACGAAGATCACGAACTTAGCAGAAGTTCGTATAAAACTCAAGAAGAATCTGATTGTCCTGAGTAAATTTTGAAACAAACAAGTTTTTAATTATACCAGGAACAAATAAAAGTTTCTTGAGATAAAGCTTATTATTATCTGCATATATTGATGCGTGATCTGTGTATTTAATTGGAAGAGTATCTCCATTACCTACTCTAACATTACCTGAACCCATCTTTGTGCTGCCAATTTGAAGATTGCTAAAATCCTTGGTAAGGTGATGGGTGCCTCTAGAATCCGGATACCGTGCATTATCATCCACAGTTTTTAGTGTAGCAATGAGTGCCTGTGAAGCTATCTAAGGTTGAAAAGTGGCAGCAGTCTGAATAAAAGGTACAGATTGAGGTGCTGTAGGAACAACATGATATGATGCTGGTAGTACACCCATCTGAAGAAAACCAACAACAAATGAAGCGTTATTATAAGCATTCAAAGGTAGATGTTGTGAATATCTCTGCTGAAACAAAGTAGGATAATTTTGTGAAGCTGTCAGAACAGGTGCAGCAGGAAAATAAACAGGATTGCAGGTAGTTTGAGCAACATCAAGACCAGTATGTGAGCAGGTATTAGCTTGAGAAAAAGCAAATGACTCATTACCCTTATAATGACTCTTATTATTGTTGTTATTCTACATAGGACTAGAAGATTCATTCTTGAAACTAGAGTCAAACCTGTAATAACATCTCTCTACAAGATGTCCCATTCTGCTATATAATTGGGACTGAGGTCTAGAAGAAGAGTATCTCACACCCCTTCCCCTATTGTTATAACTATTCGTTGAGTAATTACTCTGAGTACTAGTGACAGTATATTGTTGATCCACATTATTGAGTTTAACAAGATTAACACTAGAAGAAACTTATTCAGTTTGAGTAGTAATATGAGCACAACCAGAGACATGATTTAGTAACTGAGATTGCCTAGTGTCAACATCCAACAGTATAGTATTGACAGATCTTAGATCAGGAAGTGTAGGACTGCAATTATTGCAGTTATAAAGGATTCATATTCATGTGACAAAACATTTAAAATAACAGTAATTTGTTCATGTTCAGAGATCAGTTCACCACAATTAGCAAGTTTGTCACAAATAGACTTAACACTCATAAGAAAATCTTTTATACTAAGATCTCCCCTCCTTTGAGAATGCAATATTCTCATGTATAACATCAGTCTAGAAGTGGTTTTACCACTATACAACCTATGCAAGGTATTCCAGATTTCAGAAGCAGTATCAAAACCTATCAAGTGAGGTAACACCTCCTCACTTACTGTAGAGAGCAACCATGAAGCAAGAGCCTCATCTTGCTCATCATATATTTCATACTCATGTTTCAAACTTAGAACACCATCCCTATTAATATACTGAGCAGGAGTGACATTGTTGTCAATGAATCTCTGCAATCTATGAGTTTGTATAGTTAAGAAGACTTGTTGACGTCATAGAAGATAATTGTTGCCATCTAGGGTTACAATTATCTTCTTAGTTGAGAAAATCTTATTAACAGGTTGAAGGACAGTATTACAAGAATTATTAATAGTGGCATTTAGATCTGGTGAGCTAACATTTCCATCAGTGTTTGTCATGATAAACGAGAGAAAAAACACAGGAGAAGAAATCAACAAGATGCAACACAAGAATCAACCAAACAGTTGCACACACCGAAAAAGATCAATTGCAGCAGAAATAAAAAATGAGACAGTGAAACGATCTCACCGAGAGATTGAAGAAAGATGAACACAAGCTTAAAAACACACAAACAAACAATAAACGAAAGCAAACAGAGCAGAGAACGATCAAACAAACAGAGAAATCTGAAAGAACGACAGAACGAAGAACCTTCAAAGGAAGACCAAAGGAGGAAACTCAGATGGACGAACTGACGAATCTCCAGAATTTAGAAGTTCTAATACCAAGTTAGAGTTCTAGATGTGAAGAACAAATAGATTGAGAAGAGAGAAACGGAATGAGTGAAGAAGAAACGTGAAAGGGATTTAGGGATTTTGACAAAAGTCAAACGAGATAATAGGAAAAAAACTATATTTCATAACATAACAATATTTCATTAAAAGAGGGAAGCCCACTATTTATACAGAAAAACCTAAAGGAAACCAACTAACGAAATAGTCTAAAGAATGGTTAACAAATTAACTGTCACATAACAGAAAGATAATACTTCACTAGTCAATTCTCCTGAACACGACAATCTTTACACAAACTTGAATCCGTAGTAAAACCCTAAAGATGAACCCGTCACGGTTAGAACCTATTATTATGGTTGGATCTGGTGCTCGACTAATAGCTCCCTTCAACTGGGAAAGCCTCTCAACGGATCTCATGGCCGCCCACTGTCGGCGCTGCCTGTGAAAACTCAGAAATGCTCCACACTTTCACGGACTTATCCAGGCTTCCACTGTAAACGATCCACCGATGGGCATTCTCCGATTCATGATCCTTTTCGACGGCCATGCACTTCACTGGCCCAGTGTGACCCGTTAGCACTGAAAGGCACGTGTGGATGTTGCCATCTTTACGCCAAACACATATAGTTTTATCAGCGGATCCGCTGAACACCAGACTCCCAGCTGCCGCAAGGCAAAGTATGGCTAATTTGTGCCCTTTAAGGACTCCGCCGTGGGATAATTGTTTACCGAGTTCCCAGAAATTGACAAAGCCTTCACTGGAACCACAGTAAACTGCTGAACCAGCGGCATTGATTATTAACGCGGTGACCGCACTTTCTTGCTGTAAAAGAGTTTGAGTCAGCGTGTGCTTTGTTCCTTTACGTTGCAGTTCTCTCTTCCACACTTTAACGGTTCCATCAGCTGAACCGGAGAAAACCATTTCTCCCGTGATGGAAATGACTGAGTTTACAGCGTCTTCGTGTGCTTGAACTGATTCAAGGCATTTGGAATCTGAAATTCTCCAGACTTTGAATGTTCGATCCCATGAAGCAGAGTAAAGAAGACCTTGTTCGTCGTTCAAGCTCAAACACGACACTGCATCCGAGTGTCTGATCCATAAAGAACGCTTGCGTTTCACTTTCTCGTAACCGCTTGGTTTAATGGAGCTTTTAAGGATGTGCTTGAGAGTTGGCAAAGTTCCAGCTCGTTTATGAACGCTAGGGTTCTTAGGCGACACTTTCCAAACGCGAATCTTCCCATCCTGATGACCCGTGAAAATCTTTTCCCCGGCTATAACAATGGCCTTAACCAATCCACTGTTGGATTTAAAGCCTGTAAATTCTTTCAAATTCTTCCACACACGAATGTTCTTGCTATCGGAGCCAGTGTAAAGAAGATCCTTTGTGGCCGCTAATGAATAAATATGGCCTTCTTCGCGTACAATCGAGCCGATGAGACTATTCGGAGGAACGTTACCGTCGTCTAAATGGTTCCCTGTAGGCTTGTTCAGAGGAGAAGCTTGTTTCCATGGCGACATGGTCAAAGGTGAGGCTTCGCAACTGACCCTATTGGTTTCATAAAACGGCGGTGCGGCGGATACGCTGCTGTAGCGGATGTTGAAATCATCTTCACTGGCGGGACCGGTGACGGAAATGTTGGGTTCCGAATATATGTTTTTGCCATTTCTGGCTCTGGAAAAGCCATCAGTATCTGTAAACATTGTGGCGTCTCTCATTACCAATCAGGGATGAAGGAAAACCAAAAAAGAATAGAGCACCCAAAAACTAAAGCGATTTCTAAAAATACGAAAACGAAGAAGAGATGATGGACAAGAGGGATTTGAGGGTTGAAAACAGTATCGGAAAACCAAGTTTAGGGCAAAGGGAGAGGATGCAGAATGTCCATTGGAATCCAGGATCCGTTTTACCTAATATTAAATTGACTCTCTAGTTGCATTCTTTAGTTCCAAATACAGCTTGTTTTGTTTATAATTATACGTAACTGGTTCTGTTTTTAGGGTAAATCACTCATACAACCTCTAGATTATAGGATATTATTATTTTGTTGCATCTTAGATTTTAAAAATTTATAAAATTATCATTCAATTAATAATAAGTTATAAATTGATTATTTTTCGTTTAAATTTATATTAGTTGGGCGAACTCTACTAATTCCATGTGTGACCAGTTCAATTAGTTGAAAGATAAATTTAAATTTTCATTCACTAATATCATGGGTTGGTGAAGAGGTCACAAGAGAAAAAAATACATGATGAATTGTAATGAAGTTACAAAGTTAATTTTGTTTAGGCATTTGAGTGTTGAGACCCCAATGAGTTGAGTCTGCAGAAATCAAAGTCAATGTGGTGGAGGTTGAGGATGGGTGTCCAACATCACAAAATCCATATTTTAATTAACAGCAGTTTTCTGCTGGATTTCTGCTGGAAGGAGTTTTCATTGTCAAAAGATGTTAAAATGTAAAACCAGAAAATGAAAAATTACTTCTCATATCCACATTAACTCATAAACTTACAATTTGTTCACAATATATACAAGTGTCAACTCTAACAACCTAACTAATTCAAAACTGCTTCTAACTAACTAGTAACAGAAAACTAACTGTAATCTTAACACTCCCCCTCAAGTTGGATGTTGAAAAACATTTTCAATTCCTAATTTGGATAACAGATAACTGTGATGCTGGCTACCCAAGGCTTTTGTCATGATGTCTGCAAGCTTCTCTTGTGTTGAAACATGCTCTGTTTGAATCATTCCCTCATGAATTTTTTCTCTCACAAAATGACAGTCAACCTCAATGTGCTTTGTCCTTCCATGATACACAGGATTAGCAACTATTTGAAGAACAACCTTATTGTCACAATAAAGCTTTACTGGTTTCAAGCATTTTATACCAAGTTCTGCAAGTAAACCTTGTAACCATACTAACTACTGCCATAGCTCTATACTCTGCTTCTACTGAAGATCTTGCTACAACAGTTTTCTTCTTTGATTTCCATAAAACCAGCGAATCACCAATCTTAATACAAAACCCTGTAACATATTTTCTTATCATTGGACATGACCCCCAATCTGAATCACAATATGCTAAAATTTGACAATCTATAGAAGTTCTCAACAAAACACTTTGTCCTGATTCATTCTTCACATACTTGACTATTCTTAAAGCTGCCTCCATATAAGACCTCTTAAGTTGCTGCATGAATTGACTGAGAAAATTTACTGCATATGTAATGTCAGGCCTTGTATATGTTAAATAAATCAACCTCCTAATGATTCTTTGGTAAACTGATTTATCTTCAAAAAGATCATACTCATCTTCAACATTATGCTGCACAACTTTATCATAATCCAAAGAAGTCAATTTCAAATTATGTTCTAATAGAGTAGCAACAGACATGGCTTCTTCCAAACCAGTATCTTTGATTAAGTGAAGCGCATACTTTCTTTGATTCAAAAGTATACATTCTTTTGATCTTAATACTTCAATTCCTAAAAAAATACTTCAATTCACCCAAATCCTTCATCTTAAAATGACTATTCAAAATTTGCTTCAATTTAGTAATCAAAACACTACTATCACCTGTTATTACTAAATCATCAACATATACTAACAAAAAAGTCATTTTACCTTCCTGCCTCTTGATAAACAGAGAATAATCATACTTGCTCTGAACATAGCCAACAGAAATCAAGGCTTCTGTAAGTTTCAGATTCCAGTGCCTGAAAGCTTGCTTAAGGCCATACAATGATTTTTTTCAGTCGACATACAATCCTCTCCCCCTGACTGCAAAAACTTTTTGGTAACCGCATATAAACTTCCTCATAAAGGTCTCATTGTTAAAAAACATTGAAGACATCCATCTGCAACAATGGCCAATTGAAGACAAAAACAAGAGCTAAAATGGTTTGAATAGTAACCATTTTGACCACAGGAGAGAATGTATCAACAAAATCAATTCCCTCATGTTGATTATAACCTGTAGCAACCAAGCGAGCTTTATACCTCTCAACTTTACTTGATGCTTTGTACTTAACTCTGTAAACCCACTTACATCCAATAGGAACTTTTCCTGCTAGTAATGGAACAAGGGACCATGTTCTATTAGATTCCAATGCATGAATTTCCTCTTTCATTGCTTGAACCCAAAGGGGATTTTGAACAACCTCATAATAAGATTGAGGCTCAGAAGTTTGAGAAATGGAAGACAAAAAAACTTGAGTATGAGTGGGCAAATGAGAATAAGAAAGATAACTAGAACTGAAACCTGGTGAAGAAGATTGACAAGAACATACAAAATTATTTAACCAATAATGAGGCTTAGACAATCTAGAAGACTTCCTGGAAGGGACAGGTGCACTTATTGAAGCAGAAGACTGGACTTGAACCTGAGAATCATGTTCATTAGCATCAGAAACCTGCTAAGTGGGAACATTATTTTGAGGAACATAATTATGAGAACTTGGAGAGGGTAATACTACAAAATCACCATCAGGAACAAAATGAATAGATGGAAAAAAACAGAAATAGAATTATAAAAGGAAGAAGAATGATGAAAATGAAACTGATCTTCATGAAATTTAACATCTATTCTAATGAACAACTTTTTTAAATCTAGATTAAACAACAAATAACCCTTTCAAGTTGGAGAATATCCCAAAAAATAGAAGAAAAAGCACGAGAATCAAACTTATCACGATGTGTGAGATTTGTTGCAAAACATAAGCATTCAAAAACTCTAAAATGATCATAAGTAGGTGATTTATGATATAAAAAGTTCAAAAGAAGTTTTCCAATACAAGACTGAAGAAGGCAAACGATTGATAATATAACAGGAAACTAACACACTCTCCCCAGAAATTGAAAGGAACTTGAGATTGAAAACGGAGAGCTCGAGCAACCTCCAAAAGATGTCTATGCTTACATTCTGCAACTCCATTCTGTTGAGGAGTATGCACACAAGAACTTTGATGGATAATTCGCAAGGATTCAAACAAGGGAGAACATTCAGAATTAAAAAACTTGCGACCATTGTCACTACGTATGATTTTGACTGAGACATAAAATTGAGTTTGAACCATCAAGATAAAGTTTTGAAGACAAGAAAAAACATCATTCTTAAGCTTCAATAAGTACACCCATCAACAATAGTAAAAAAAATCGTTGACCATCATGAGTTGAAATATGATAAGGTCCCCACAAATCAATGTGAATCAAGCTGAAGGGATTAGTAGTCCTAGAACTAATAATTGGGAATAGAAGCCTAGACTGTCTAGCTAAAAGACAAATATAGCAATTATGAACAAAATCATTGTGCAAAGCAGTGTTATGAAACATAGGTAATCTACTCAATTGAGAAGTTGGAACATGCCCTAAACGAGTATGCCAAAGATGTGTTTTATTTGCATCAAAAAATTTACAAACATTGAGAGAAATCTTAGAACCAATACAAGATTTACAAGTATACTTTTATAAATCAAAAACAGAAAAAACAAAATTTAAATGGAATTTGAGCAGATAAAGACCCCTAAATCCTTTACCAATCACCCTCATCATGCCACTGTAAAGATCCTGCAAGATGCAAAGATCAGGATAGAACAAGACAACACACTTTAAATCATGAGCTAATTTGGAAATAGAGATGAGATTGTGAGTAAAGTGAGGCACATGAAGAACATTAGAAAACCGAAGACCATTTGATAATTTAGCAGATCCTATGTGAGTGACATAAAAAGATTTGCCATTAGGCAACTGAACATATCTAGGAGGAGATGTACAAGGCACATGATTAATCATGCAAGTAAAATCTGACAGGATATGATCAGTTGCTCCAGAATCTAGAATCCATTCAATTGAAGTATGAGCAAAAGAACAGAAAATACATGCCAAATTCATAGAGGAATCTGAACTAGAAGTCTGATTTGAAGCCTGATTTAGAAGCCCCAAAAACTGCTTATATTGCTCCGATGTAAAGACTGGAGGAGTTGGAGAAACTGATTCAGAATCATATTGAACTACCATGGTAGCCTGAGAGCCATTTTTCTTGTTGAATTTCAAGTCAGTTGGAAAACCAATAAGCCAATAACAGTTTTCTTTCTTATGGCCCTTCACCTTGCAATGATCACAGGTTCCATTAAACCTTCTACGAGTGCCAGAAACATTAGAATACAAAGTTCTAGATTCCATAATAGGAATAACACCAGACAATTGAAGACGGTGGGACTCTTCTTGAATTATTATATAGTATGCACTATTGACTGATGGTAAAGGTTGCATCAATAACAGTTGACTACGAATAGCAGCATAATAATCATTCAATCCCATTAAAAACTGAAAAAGTCTCTGATGAGATATATGCCTCGAACTAGATTGAGCATTCTCACAGGTGGAATTTAAAAGAGGCACCAACGCATCATACTCATCCCAGAGATGTTTCAAACACGATAAATATGCATAAATAGAAAATTTACCTTGAGATATGCCCAAACTAAAGCTGCACTTGAGGCAAAAACAATACCAACAGGTTCCTTGCTCATAGAATTGATGATCCAGGAGAGCACAAGGGCATTGCATTTGTCCCATTGAGCTTGAAGAAGAGGTTGAAAATCACCGCGACAACATACTCCATCAACAAACCTTAACTTATTTTTGGCGAGAAGAGTGATTTTCATATATCGACTCCATATGGTGTAGTTGTCTAGCCCAGATAATTGATGCAAAATTAAAATCGTACCAGGAGTATCTAAATGATGAAGATATAATGGATGATTGAAATCAATCACGGTGGAGTCCGCCATAAGAAGCATCGACGGTGGCATTGCAGCGGTTTCGTCGTCGGCACAAAACAAACTGATCCAGAAATATGAAAAGAAAAAAAAACAAGAACAAGCCCAAGAAGAAAAGGCCCAGTGATATCGATTAGCCTGATCCCATGTTAAAATGTAAAACCAGAAAATGAAAAATTACTTCTCATATCCACATTAACTCATAAACTTACAATTTGTTCACAATATATACAAGTGTCAACTCTAACAACCTAACTAATTTAAAACTGCTTCTAACTAACTAGTAACAAAAAACTAACTGTAATCTTAACAAAAGACATCAACTTTCCCATTTTTTAACTTTGAATTTCAGACATCTAACACACTGATTGAACCAGTTTCTTCCATTAGCTATTTTGGATTAATTTAAATGTCAAACATCAAGGGGTTGCTATTGTTTTTGTTGGCCGAACTTTGTCCTAAAAAACTCAATCATGATCTCCACAGCTGTCATCTTCTAGTTCTACGTTACTCCAGCTTAACTGCTTCCTCGAATCATTTTTTGCCACGCTAATAATATGTTAGATGTATAACAACCTGAGACGAAAAGAAAATAAAAATAAAATACTTTATAGATCCACAATTTGCTTCTATGGTGATTCATACAAGTCGCGGAAAATGACATTCAATTTCTCGGTAATATCTCGTCGTAAAATTTGTGTACATGAATCAAGAATAAAACAAACACAATTATTAAAATGTAAAATATTTGATTAAATAATATGAATAAAAAATCATAAATATATGAATAGTAATAAGTTGAGGCCTGCAATTACGCCGTTTCCTTAATACAAATTTTCGGCCACTCCTTAGTGCTCGAGATTTTTTGTCGTCTGTCTCCTAGGATATAACAACAAGATGATCAGCGCACAACAACACAATTGCCGAGATCACGAACTATTCCTTGTCTTCGCCTATCACCAAAAACTAGAGAAAAGAATTCTTTTGAATTTGTTTTTGAAATGTTTTAAAAAAATTCTATTTAACCTAATGAAACATTAATGAGAATCAAACAATTAAGCAATTTCCAAAATTATTGTTTTGATTAAAGGAATCTATTAATATTTATCCTTTTAATTTCAAAACAGATTTTAAAAATATATTCTCTATTTGAGGAAAATATCTCACATTTAGGTTAAAATATATGCAAGCCCACAAAGAGCTAGACCAGTTTGGACATTCACATTACCCACATCGTGCACTTCTACACATTTATGAACCATCAATTGGTTCAACATTTTTCTCAATAACGTTTGGATCATTTTTTCATTCAAAGCTCCAAAATTATCAAATTTTTTCCAACATAATAAAGAGGGTCAACTATAATATATAACACTGAATTTTGGTTGACTACTACTAAATTTTATATTGTTCTAATTATAGTACTAAATTTTAGTTTTGACTTTCGCTTTGGTTATACTACTAGGCCATTAAAATTTAAACAAGATAATGTTCATGGACAAAACAACATTGTTATGGTGTGATTATTAATTATCAAAATGATGTTGATTTCGAAACTAAATTTTAAGAGTGTATCGATTGTGTCACTAAACCTTTAAATAGCTCATCTTTTAGGTGATATGCTTTTTTTCGACCATAATTGATAGTTAATCGTCGCATGTCATCAATCATCATTTGTGACAAAATCGATATCAAAACATTAATATTTTATTCCCTATTTTTCTCATGTGATTGATTTTTCACGAAATCTATTCAAAATCGACAAAATTAAATAAAAATCTATCATTTTTTGAGGTTTGAGACTTTCTCATATTTGAGAGAATTGTGAGTGTTTGTTTAAAAATCTACGATGAAAAGCATTATTTTTGATAAAATGAACAACAAACCTCAAAATTAACCTCACCAGATAGTAACAAGATGAGATCGAGCTAGTGAACTTTGTGAAAAATTAATTCAGTAAGAGAAAGAAATGTGAAATATGAGTATTTTAATATTGATTTTGCCATGAGTGATGACCGATGATAAAGTGATTAGTTGCCAATTACAAGTAAAAAAATTTAGTGCCCTAAACTGAATCTTTTTAAAGTTTAGTGACAAAATCAATATATATATATATATATATATATATATATATATAAATTTACTTTCTAAAAAAAATATTATTTTAGGCATTAATAACCGCACTAAAATGATACTAAAAATATTATTTAAAATTTATTATTGATAAAAATATGGAAAAATATTTTAGAAATCTTTAATTAAGTAGTTTTGAAATATATATTTAATAACATTTAATTTTAAAAATATTTAAAATAATCGTGATAAAAGTTTAAAAAATTTAACTTTTAAAAAATCAATAAATGATATTTTTAGTGGGATGGATGTAGTATTATTTAGTGTACATTATTATAGTGACAAAAAGATCCAACGCTGTAAATTGAACTCAAAATCAAAATTTAATATCATAATAAGAGTAATTAAAAGTTTAGTAATATAAACGATACACATCTAGAATTTAATAATATATAGTAATATAATTAATAATAATAATAATAATAATAATAATCTCATATGATATTATTATTTGAATCAATTCTATTTTTTACTAACAAATCTTTTTACCTAAAATTTAATGAGTTTCTAATCTTTGATTTATACCCAAACAACTCTTTTGTCTTATTATTTGTACCAACCTTTACTTTCACCTGAAATTAAGGTTTACTTGTATAAAAATCACATGACAAGTGCTGCAAAAGAATTATAAACTAACGGTATAAAAAAGGAAATATATAACCACTTATCGGCGTTACCCAATTGACATCATAAGCTTTATTTTTGTCTTAAAAACTTGCTCTCTTCAAGGATGTGACCGTAACGGCTGCCCCCAACGCCGACTTGCCGACTTCGATTTCAAAGGAATCGTAACGCCTAAACAGTTCCACCACCAAGAGCCTCGACATCAACACCACGAAATCCTTGCCGGCGCACTGTTTGTTCCCCAATGTCGGTTGCTGAGTCTCCGGTCCATTCGACCAAAGCACGTGCTTCAACAGCTTCTCTCCGTCCTCTCCGATGAACCTGTCGGCGACGAAATCCTGCGATCTCTCGAATATCTTGGGGTCTTTCGTTGCAAATGGTTGGAACCCGAATAACATCTCCCCTTCTTTCACTTGGAACACGGCGTTGTGGCTCTCGATCAAGAAATCCTTCTTCGCTCTCCCGTATTGTAACGGGACGGGTGGTTCGATCCGTAATGCTTCGTACACCACGGATTTCATCAATGGCATCTGTTCCATGGCGGCCATTGTGAGTTTCCCACCGTTGGATCTGATGGCTGATCTGATCTCCGTTGCTAACTCGGTGTGTAGCTTAACTCCAGCTCTGCCGATCCATTTAAGCATGTTGGGGAAGAAGATTTTCATGCCACCGAATGAATTAAAGCACGTTGCGAATATCAAATTGTGGCAAGCTTCTTCTCGTGAAATACCCATTTTCTCAGCTTCATCTTGAAAGAAACCAGATGATTCGTAGAAAAATTCGTAGATTCTCTGGTAATCCTTTTTAACCAAAGCCGGAGGGAGGGGAAAAGTATGGATCAAGAGCTCTTCAACGTATTTAGGGAGACCAAGAGAAAGAACCGGACCCAGTTGAAAAAGGACCCATTTACTAATCAAACTTGGACCATCGGTACCTAGTTTAGTATCTCTTGGGTTCGTACCAAAGAAAGCCCGACACAAGAAGTTAAACCCAGCTTGATCGTTAGCCGCCGGAAAACTGCTTCTACCTTTCACGCCGAGCTCTTTCTCTAATGTTTCGAATAACTCAGCGTAAGAGGCTTGGAACTCGGGGATCACTTGATCTCTCCTGGATTTCAAGAGAAAAAATATAAGTTGTTTGAGCAGGGCGTGCTTGGGCTCGGAGGGATCGAGATACGAGAGGATTCGATAGCCGCCGGTGAGGTCAGTTGACGGCATGTAAGTGCCGGTGAAAAGGTCTTTTTTCTCAACCTTGGTGACATCGAAAAGAACAGGGAAACTCTTTCCGTCGAGTAAAGCAACAACCTTTGAGTCTTGAGAGATGAGAGGGCCGGGTGGCATGTTAGTTCGGAACACCGTTGAATTATATTTCTGGATTTTCGATTTGAAAAACTCATCTCGACCTTGATTGTAGAAATAATCAAGTCGATCTTTGAGTGGACCAACATAAGGAATCCCATAACTCCCCGGGATTTTCTTCACGGGAAGCTTGCCTTCTCCATTGTCTGAAACGACCTCCGCCGGCTCAGCCATATATGGTTTCTCCGACACGGAGGCTCTAACACGCCGAACGACAACCCGACGCGATGTTGAAGTGGTCGCCGACTTAGATGATGGTTTTTTCGATGAAACAAATTGCAGATGAAGAGAAGTAAAAGGTAGAGGAGAAGAAGCCATATTAGAATGGAATAAGAATGAGCTTATTGCGTTCCGAGTCGGGAGAAAATTATAATAAGCTGGAGTGGGTTGCAAGTGCTTGGCAGAGCCGTGTGTTAATTTATAGTAGTGTCCAGCAAAAAAAAAAAGTGAGGGGCCGAGTTGGACCGGTCGGTGACTTGAGTAAAGCTCGAAACTTATTGATCCAGTCATGAAAGGTATGACCTTGTAATATAAATCAAATATTTATTTCCTGATTAAATGGGCACGTGGTCGGTATGAGATAGGTTGTGGATACCAGAGTTCAATTGGTACTTGATTATTAAGATTACTGTATGAATATTTTTATGTTGAATTGATATTTAAATTTGAAATTTCTATGCGTTTTTCTGTTAATTAATTAAATTATTAACGTGATATCAATACATTAAAATATAATGTAATTAAACGTTATAGATTGATATCTGTATAATTTTTGAATTAATATAAATTGATTACATGCCATATCAAGTGTTTTTCCATATTTAAGTATCAAGTTATTATAAAATAATTTAAATATTAGTTAATGAAAACCTATCAACTTCCTCCAATCAAGTGGCATCAATAGTCGAAGGAAATATTATTTTTTAAGATTCTAAATTCGAGCAATAAAGTTTATAGAAGTATGACTTGTCAATAATTAAAAAAGATTATTAACATATACTACCACTGTAATTACCCTAAACTATTCAAAAATTATCAACTTTTTATATATAATTATTTTTTTATTTCAAATCTGAACTCACCAAGTGATCTCAGTAGTTAAAGGGAATGTTGTTTTCTCTATAGGTTTTAGTTCGAGCATCTACATTTGCAAGTATGTCTGTTGTTAATTGATTAAGAAAGTTTTGAACAATGTTATTTTATAATCACGTAATACAAATATTCTTTTCAAATCTTCAAAAATATAAAATAATATCATAAATGATGTATTATATATTTGATTTTTTACATAAAAGTTTAAATCAGTGGTGATTCTCTTAGATATGTCAAATTCGGGAGTCATTTAACGATCGAGAAAGGATGAGCACCCTCGAATCGCCCTTCGGTACCAATTGATTACCAGGTTGTCTTAATGGCGAGAATTGAAATTTAGATATAAAATTTAAAAATTCGATCTAAAATCAGTTATCTTTAATTCAATTTTGGGATGTTAAATAAAATAAAATAAATAAAAATAAGTAAATGCTGCAAAAAAAGTTATCAATTTAAAGGAATTAAATAAATAAATTAAAAAATGAGGATTAAATTAAATAAAATCAAAATTCAGGGGAAAAATTACAAGTAACGACCAAAATGGATTACGCATTAAACCTCAAAAGACTACAGAAATAATTTTAAAAAATTATAATTACAAACTGGTCCCTCATATATAAATGGCCATTTACCCCTTTTTTTTTTGTTTCATTTCAACACTCTAAAAAAAACTCTTCCAATTCTCCCAAAATTCTCTCTACTCTCCCCTTGCCGGCCAAAGCATGTGATCCAGATTCCCTAAAATTTTGGAATCTTGGTAAAAAAGTTCAGAAAAATAATTTTTCTGGAATTACATACTCATGTTTGGTTTAAAAACATTTCCTCCAGATGCAATAAAATATTGGTAAAAAGATATGTGAGGGCCCTGAACTTGTTTGGTTTAGAAACATTTCCTCCATATGTAATAAAATATTGGTAATAAGGCACCCAATGGCCTTGAACTTAAAAAAAACCAATATGGCCCCTATCTTTTTTTTGGATCAATATGACCCTTCAACTCGAAAAAATAACTCAATGTGGTCATTTGACCAACATTTTCTGTCGTTGACCAATGATTCTGTTACTTTATGCTTACATGGCATGTCAAACAATCCAACTCTTGTGTTTAATGTTATTTAAATCGGATAAATTAAATCATTCATCACTAAATTATTTTATCTTTTCCGTTTTTGGTCACCATGAACATCTCTAATATTTCACCTTCAAGTTCCACCCTAAACCAGACCAGAAATCCATGAAAAATAAGTGTTACCTCCTTCAAGTTCATCGAATTCTAGCTTAAGACTAAATTGTAGCTAGGGATGGGCATGAGACCCGAATCCAACGAGTTTCGACCCGATCAGGTCAAGGTTTTTTTAAAACTTTCGGATTTGGGATGGGTCGGGTTTTTTTAGAGGTGATGTTCGGGTCGGATCGGGTTTGGTATGGTGAAAAATACCCGACCCGAAGAAAATATAATTTTCCTTATATAATTAGAGATAATTACAATAATATCCCTCTAGATATTATTTTTTCAATTAAATCCATGTTTTTATTGAATAAAAATAATATATTATTATTATTTCGGGTTGGGTCGTGTCGGGTCGAGTCGAGTCGAGTTCAGATTTTATCTCAATAAGTCGGGTTAGATTCGAGTCTGGTGGAGGGTGTATATTTTTCGAGTCAAGTCGATCAGGTTTCGACCAACCCGAACCGACCCGACATGTGCCCATCCCTAAATTGATGATAAGAATTATGTGTGCCATTGTTTTGTGATAAACAAACCTGGAATTATGGATTCTCAATAAAATCTCTCCAAAACCCTTCATGTTCTTCTTGTCCTTCGCTCACCTTCTATTCCTCTTTTTTTTCTTCAAGTCCCAATTACAAGCTCATTTCCATGTCCTCGACCCACTCGACTCCTCCGAGTAGAATCACTCTTTCCTCGCCCTGCACGTTCCCTTCGTGCTCGCCCTTCTCTGCGTGGGAAGCACCCCAATCTCCTCAGAAACCCTTTCCATTCTTTCTTCTTTAAAGCTAGTCGTGACCTCGAGTGCTAGACTTGACCACATCGACTTGCAAGAATATCGCCGCCTAAGCATTGCTGTCACCGCCACTGGTTAAGCTTTCTATGAGGATGTTGTTGACTTTGTTGTTGGGCTTCTCATCAATGTTCTCTAATGAATTTCAGCCGATGATTGGTATGTTCGGTCCGGGTCGTGGGTCACAAAGGGAACATACCAATTGATTTTTTTTTAAAGTTTAGTGACCAAAATGGAAAAGAGAAAATAATTGAGTGAGGAATGATTTAATTTACCCAATTTAAACAACATTAAATAGAGGAGTTTGACTGCTTGACATGTCATGTCAGCACCAAATAATAGAACTGTAGGTCAACGACGGAAAACGTTGGTTAAAAAATCACATTGTGTTTTTTTAATTGAAGAGACACATTGATAAAAAAAGGATAGGGGTCACATTAATTTTTTTTTATAGTTCGCGAGCCTATGATGCCTTTTTGCCTAAAATATTACTTACAGTAGCAATTTTTTAGGTTTTATGTTGTTCCCCTTGTTTTCTTATGTAATAACCAATTCATTTTATTTAGGATAAAGATGCCTTTGAAACAATTTAGTTATTTCAAAATGATCATTTCTTGTGTACATACATGCATTGATATAAAATTATTTTATTTATTTTATTTTATATTGTAGTTCTAATTTTTTTAATACTTATTATAAAATAATATGACACATATAATAAAAATTTAAAAAAATACTAAATTTCTATTTATTTTTAATATTTATTATATATATGTATTTCATTCAAAAAAATTATATATCTTTTATTTAGTTTATGTTTTAGTATTAATTTTCATAAAAGATTTTCTATATTATATTTTTTTATGTTTTCTACTAATTTTGTTAAATAATTAAATATGATATTTTGTTGTACAACTCATATATGTAGCATGAATTAAATAAGAAAGTGTAACAATTAACACATATTTTACGAGTGTAAATATGTACATCTTTCAATATCTTAGCAATTAACACATACTTACACCGACGTAAGTATGTACATTTATCAATATCTTAACAATTAACATATATTTATACCAATGTAAGTATGTAAATATCTCAATATCTTAGCGCATATAAATAAACACATAATAATATTTGTGTAAATATATTTCTTTATTTTAAAAGAAATAAAAAATATATTAAATTATTTGTGTACAAATTTTATCGAATATATATATATATATATTGAAAAATATAAAATTATATTTTTTATGAACTTATGTGTAAATATTTTTACTTTAATATTAAGAATTTTACTTGTTAAATATATATGTGTGTGTATATATATATATATATATATGACAAATTGATAAAACATACATTTTTTTTATCTTATATTCCTTCAACTAAACATTATAATCTTATATATCTGTCAAACAAACTAGACAATGTTATACAACATTCTTAGTAATATGTTAAGTAATGTATTATTACGATAATTTTATTCTTAATGATAATCTTACATTCCGTGAATTAAATGATCTCTCATAATTTGACCATTTTAATTGTCATGTCAAACTAGTCTTAACAATTTATGTTATTAAACTTTAATATTTCATGTATTCGTATTTTATTTTAATTATTTTATATAATTTTTTATTTATATTTTGCACTATATAATATATACGTAAAATGCCGTTAATCACGTCGGGCTTTAACTGAGTAAGGTCAAAGATAGTTGAAAAAACTGACAAGAGGGTGGACCGTAAAGAGATTGTACTAAATTAAATTAAATTAAATTAAATACACCGTAACAGCTCCTACCAAGTATCCTGGATTACGGCTTGGTTCTCACTGCCGGCCAACTGAACGTTAGTTTCACGTGGATTTATTCCAATTTTTGCTCGAAGTCGATTTGATTTACAATTATATCCAGTTTTTTAATTCAAAATTTACAAGGAAATACTTAATGCAAATCCTAATTTTAAGTTCGAGGAGGATTATATCTAGATTTGAACTTTTTATATGGGTGTCAACGAATATTTTTAAATGTAGATTTGATTTTTATGTTGTTTCCAACAATATTTTTAATTGATCAGGCTAAAATTATCATTTAATAGTAAAATTTATTTTATTTTATTTCAATTTGATTTTAATTTTACAGTAGAACATCTATAAAGTAATCCTCGATAAATTGATAATTTCTCTAAAATAATAATTTTTCTAGATCCTGACATGAACTCAATGTCTGAATTAA